TTGTTTGCCTTTTTGCTTTATGGCTGACCTAGTTATCTGCTTTTTCTCGAACAGTGTTTAACAAAGACATTTAAAAAAAATACTTCTTGCTGATCAATAAAACATGGTTTCTACCTGTCGTTCAACCTGTGGAAAATAATAAATAACTGGTGCAATAAATTTTAGAAAGAAAAACTATTAATGTTTAATTATTAATTTAAAAACAAAAAAAAAAAATGGAGTAAAACTGGTAATAGAGGCTGGCACAATGCTTATCAACATAGGCCAATGATTCTTAGCCCAGGCTCCACATATGCTCACAAGTGAGCCCTGGTAAATTTTATAGGGGCCACAGAAAAACTTTTGGATTTGGGAGGGGCCCCACAAGTTCAATGAAATGGGCCACAGTGCTACAACCATGCTGATCTCTATATTTTAGTTTTAATAAAAATTAATTTACACTACAAGTATACCTCTGGTTATGTTGTTTCGAGTTAAGTTGTTCTTGATTATATGTCACTAACAGCATGGCCCGGCGTTGCCTGTGCTTGATTCAAAAATCATACAACTCATACAGCAATCGCTATCACTTGACTTAAAATATTTTTGCCCTTCCTTGCCTTTAAAGGAGTGCCCTTTGCCGTACTGATGTTGCTACATGCCTTACTTCTTGCCTATCTCACACTGCGAATTTTGTCTAAGCTCTATACTAAACTTTAAATCTATTACGAAAAAAGAACTAAACAAAATGAACACAAAACGATCAGCTTTAAAAAAGGACTCCTAACTGGAAAAACCGAATGAAAAGAGAATGTTAACAATAAATACTTTTTCACACGCAACCCAGTTCTGCGGAATCAGAATCAACGTTGAGTTTAAGCAAGCGAATGAGCCAATTGGAGTAAAATGCCATGCAGATTTAAATTTTTCACACTTGTGACGAATGCAGCTATTGATTTTTTTTTTTTTTTTTTTTTGCATGCTAGTTAACATTTGTGTCAGTCAGCTGTTAGCTCTCACGCTGGCCAATAGAATCTTCCTGCCTATTCGTGGCAGCCAGATATTGGCTCTCACTCTGGCCAGTAAAAAATAGCCGCAAACTACATGAAAACTGCTGTAGAAGCATGAAAAAGTCGATTATTTCCCCTATCAATGAGACTTGGGAAATGCATGGCCTTCCCGCTAACTTTGTGCATGTAAATTTTGGTGCAAATCTGTCGAAAATTGTGGCTGTGCATTCGTTACACACGCACACACACATCCTGCCTTTTATAGATAGAGATTTGTCAAAAACAGATTTGGAAAAATAAAAATCAAGTTTGTCATCTTATTCCTAGTGCCATGCTATAACACTGGACGATAAACATACTATGATAAAATGCCATGAAAAAGGTGAAAAGGTTATATCAATTGCTTGATCTTTTGGAATGAGTCGGACAACTGTATCGACGATTGTTCACAATAAGGCTAAGATTTTGCCACATATCAAATCTGATGCCCCAGGGATGAAGAATATCATTATCAATAAGAAAAGAGGAAAAATCTTTGAAGAGATGGAACAACTTGTTTCTCTTTGGATTGATAGATTGAATCATCAGCGTGCTGCTATTAGTCAAGAAATCATTCAAGCGAAAGCATTGTCTTTGAAGACCTGAAGAAAAAAAAAACCCAGATGAGAAAGATGTAGAGTTTAATGCAAGTCAAGGTTGGTTTATGAGATTTAAAGAATGAAGAAGTTATCACTCTATTAAGAAGCACGGTGAAAGTGCATCAGCTGATGAACAAGCAACAGCTGATTTTCCTAAAGCATTGGCTAAGATCATTGATTAAAACGGGTTTCTTCCTGAACAGATTTTTAACGTTGACGAAACTGGATTATATTGGAAAAAATTGCCAGACTGGCTCTGAAGTGAATTTGGTTGTCCAGTATTGTTGAGCACAATTTTGGCTTAAGGCTTCAGCTCCTGTGTTGTGGAACTAGTTTCACTTTATTGAGTGCTTTTTGCTATACTGGCAGGCCTTTTCCAGGTGGGGAAACTTTTTTTTTTTTTTTTTTGTTATCTTGCCATTTTAGATGTTTGCTGGATGATCTACCCCCCCCCGATTTTCCTAACCGTGTGGGATTGGTTTGCTTGTCAAATTCAACTCACCTGGTGGTATATAAGGAATTCATCTTATTACAAGTCACTGGCTACCTGATGATTGTGTGAAAACACATGTAACTAATAGTAGTGGCCAGTCATTGCCGACCTGTTTTTTGAATTATATACACACACAAAGGCTTTGCCATTTCTTGTGGTATGGAGCATTTTTATATCAGAAGGCTGTTTTGGGGCAGACTCTACTCAGAGCTGCTCAATTAAACCCTGTATATATATATATATATATATTCGACTCTCCCGTCGAATTTGACATATGAGGGTCAAGCAGATCAGTTTCTAGGAAACCGACAGCCTGGCAACAGCACATGAGATTTGATTATGGTGGTGAAGGTTTCATGCAGGACCATCCACACTTTTTGAAGCGCCGAATACAGACCTGGTGCACTACATGCCACAGGGTTTCCAAATGACCCCTCACAGGTTTTGAATTCAGAGTTTTCCTTCTTTTAAACCAGTTGCCATCCAAAGCTATAGAACCCAGTCTGTCCTGCTATTTACCCATAGCTGGAGGGAGAAGAAGAGAATTCACACCTGAGTGAAATAATATATATATATATATATATATATATATATATATATATATATATATATATATATCTCCAGGGTTTAATTGAGCAGCTCTGAGTAGAGTCTGCCCCAAAACAGCCTTCAGATATAAAAATGCTCCATACCACAAGAAATGGCAGAGCCTTTTATGTTTGTGTATATATATAAATATGATCACGTCGTCGTCACGTAAGCAAATATATGGATATACGTTTTCACAACATCGCCCACGTGACAACGACGTGATCATATTTAAATGGAACGCTGATCTTATATAAAAATTTCAGTTATCTGTTTGGATTAGTTGTGCTCTTATGTCCATCGTCTTTTGTGTTAAATTTTTATATGTTCTAATGTTAATTGTGTTTAAATGAAAATGTCCATGAAGATGGTCTTAAATAGACCGAAACGTCCAATGTTGACTTTATATTAACATTAATACAGCATAATTGCATATTAAGATTTTTGTTTGTTTTTTGTGTATTTTTCTTCATACTGTCGGATCTATATCTATATATTTGCTTATATAAAGTGAACATTGAAGTCAACACCTAGAGGACAGTCTGTTTCATGCTAAATGCAATCACCAGTCCATGTGTGTTATGTTTTTGCACAACTTTATATATCCAGGTCAGTGATGCATTGTGGGTAGCCTCTTGTATTATTCTAATGTTTGTTTTGGTGGGTGTGGTTTGTTAATTTGTTTATTATTTGCTTAATTTATTTACTTATTTGTTTTGGATTAATTTATTTTACTTGGTTTTGTTTATTTTATTTTTATTTATTCTTGTTTGTTTTCAGTTTTTGGTTTTTAAATAATGTAGTAAATTTTTTTTTTTTTTGTGTCTGCATTTTGAGATGAGTTCTGATTGTTTATTTAGTAGTTCGTTTTGGTCTGGGAAGGTTATTGCCATTTTTGCCTCCAGGTATAGTTTACGGTTTTTGGATTGTTGTAAGCTGATGTTCTTTTCCTTATTTTCCATGATATTTTTGGTGTGATTTGTTTTTTAATCTCACAGAAATATATATATATATATATATATATATATATATATATATATATATATATATATATGTAAAAAGACAATATAAATAGACGAGAAGAAAAAAAACTATTCTTTACCAACATGTTTTGTCAACCGATGGACTTTATCAAGGCAAATTTAATGATTTTATTTCGCAACAAGTATTTAGACACAGAAGTAAAAATATTAGATCTTGAAAATTGTTAGATTTAAGAGCCCTCATAAATATTCTTCAGGCTTGCTGTAAAAGTCAAGGTAAACTATGGAGGATGCTAAGTGATATAATTTAAACCAAATAAATGAAAGTGATTAAATGTTTCTTGAATTTTATTTTTTCTTGACCTCACCTGGAAGTTAGCATCAGCCATGCTGATGGAAAGCAGTTTGGGCCTCTCAGATGATTAATAGAGAGCAGTTTTGTTTTGGGGGTGTTAAAATTAAGAAGCCATCCTTTGCCCCAGTTGCCAATAGATTTTTTGAGATCATCTGCCAATTTGACCTTATTGTTTGTATCAGATTTACAATGGAGACTAGAGTAATTGGTTGTGTCATTAGCATAGATAACAAGTCAAAAACAACATTTAAAAGAAATGCCATGGGTTTCTTATGGGTAGTTTGGTATTTACTAGATTTATAGAGGTATTTCATTTTTTAACAGTTTAATTTTTTTGGTATGATTATTTTTTTTTTTTTTTTTTAAAAACAAATCACCAAAAATATCATGGAAAATAAGGAAAAGAACATCAGCCTATAACAAACAATCCAAAAAACCATACTATACTACATAAATGATCAGAATTCATCTCAAAATGCAAACATGAAAATAAATTTTTACTAAGTTAAAAACTCAACAACTGAAAACAAACAAGAATAAATGAAAATAAATAAGTAAGTAAACTAAGTAATTAATAAACAAATTAACAAACCACACCCACCAAAATAACCGTTAGACTACCCACAATGCAATAGAATATCCACAATGCATCACTGACCTGTATATATAAAAAGTTGAGCAAAAACAATGCAAACAGACTGTCGCCTCTGTGTGTTGACTTCACTGTCCACTTTTATATTTGTATATATTTAAAAAAAACTGCTGCATAAATTGTGAACTTCATTTTTGGTGAAAAACATTAATTTGGTTTGAGTTATTCTGAAACAAATAGTTAAAACGGTAAAAAAAAATCTTTAATGGCTATAATTTCAGCTGATATAAATATAATGTTTTCATTTTTATTTCTTACAGAATTCCTCAAAAGGTGCTTGTCCATAGCAGCTAGCTAGCACAATGCTACGACTCCAACGTCACGTAGCACAGCTACGGATTGTGGCAGGAGACAATCTGGCACCGGTATTGTCCAGGATCCCTCAGAATCCAGGATATCGGTTGCCTGAATCCCTCCGGCAGGCATCTTCTACATCCAACGATGGAAAACCTATTCAGAAGTTACTGGTTGCAAACAGAGGTAAGCAATTGCTTCTCTGCACTTTATTGCATTTGTTTTTATGTTCACACCTATACATATATCCCTGGAGTTTGTTTTTAGTTGGAAGTAAAATCAATTAACAACTAGAAATATATAATTTCTAGAAGTTTCTTGGAAATTCAAGTCATCTACTTGAAGTTGCTGGTCCACAATGTTAAAAGTACCAGCATGCGTATAATATAACTCCATGTTTCTGAACCTAAAATCAGGGAGTAAATTACACCCTTGAGTAAAACATGACCTTGTGTTTCTGAAACTAAAACCAGGGAATAAATTACCTCCACAAGTATAATACAACCCTGTGTTTCTGAAGCTGAAACCAGAGAATAAATTACATTCTTGAGCATAATATGACCCCATGAAAACCAGGGTCAAATTATATCCTCGAGTATAATATAAACTTGTTTTTTTGAAGCTAAAAATTGGGAATAAGTTACATCCTTGAGTATCATACGACCCTATGTTTCTGAAACAAATCATGGAATAAATTACATCCTTGAGTGAAATACAACCCCGTGTACCTGTAGCTAAAACCAGGGAAAAAAATTACATCCTTGAGTATAATATGACCCCATGTTTCTGAAACTATAAAATAAATTACCTCCTCAAGTATAATACGACCCTGTGTTTCTGAAGCTGAAACCAGAGAATAAGTTACATTTTTGAGCATAATATGACCCTGTAAAAAAAAATTACATCCTCGAGTATAATATAACCCCATGTTTTTGAAGCTAAAACCAGGGAATAAATTACATCCTCGAGTGTAATACAACCCCGTGTTTCCGAGGCTAAACCAGGGAATAAATTACATCAATAGATATAATACTAGACTGTTTCTGAAGCTAAAAACCGGTAATAAATTACATCCTTGGGTATGATACAACCATGCAGCAGAGCCATCCCGAAGTATCTTTTGAAAAGTTGCACCATCTTATCCCTTAAAATCTCAACGTTGTACATTTATTTCACTAATATATTTAATTTTTCACAATATTAAAAAATTTAAATGAACCAGATGTTTCTTCTAATTTCTGTTTCAAAACTTATTTCACAATTTTCAGGGAAAAGTGACATTACCCAGTAATAAATTTTAAGGCATTTATCATACTTTTCTGTTTGATATGAATTTATTGTATTTCTATGAAAATTAGAAAAAAAAAAAATGTCTTTAATTAAGAATGAAGTGAGAAACAAATATGGGTGACATATCAAATAAGTTTTATAAACAATACCGTTGTGGATTCCAAAATGAAATCCAGTCTCCAATGAATGACAAACGCAGGAATGAAATATAGCAAATAATTGTATTTACACAATAATACAATTAGTAATACGGTCAGTAGATCCAGAAATGCGGTTAATAGCAATAATAATATATATATACAGTCTGGTAAATTAAGTCTCAAAGTAGGACTCCCTTAGAGTCTACGTGCTCACAACTGTGACTCCTACAAGCAGTTACCTCACACTATTACTCTACCACTCAATCACTCTGTCTACTCTGACTCTGTGTATTTAATGGCAGCAGTACAAGTACACACTGGTCGAGTCCACTTGTATGAAAAAGGGGTGGACCCCATAACAAATACTTACCTGGTACAAGAGTTGGCTTTTGGGCAGAGTAAACATTTCTCCCCATTTTAGATGGGAGAAGGCACCTGGTCCCTGTGGCAGTACCTCCCTGCTTGCACAAAGAGAGGCTGTGTGTGTGTGTGTGTGTGTGTAATATCAACACCAGCCTGGCATTGAGTAAAATTTTTGTCCTTGAACCATATGCATACATGTGTATGGCACTCCCCATAAACTCGGCCCTGTGTCACATCCTGCCTTTGTGGATAGAATGGGTAAATATATGTGTACGTCCTTACTAGGATGAGCCGATTTGGAAAAAAAATTGGTAAGTAGTTAAACTTCCAGTTGAGTTTGAATCCATCTCTTGCCCCACCATCTATGGGTTAAATAGGAGGGTAGACATGTCACTCTTGCTTTGAGGTGGCAACCAGTCTAGAAGGAAAACTAATTTCAAAACTATATATTTAATAAAGGAATTTTTTTAATCATTTCACCTGAAGGAAGGCAATAAAGCCACTAAGATACGAGGGGTTACTGAGCATGAAAGAATGAGAAAAAGAAAAACATGAAGGAATGAGAAAAATAAGAGGAATCAAGAAGACAGTAGATAACGATTGACATTGCACTTAATCTTTTGAAGATCAAAGTTGGCTGGAAAGCCAGAAGTTGAAATGGCTAGATGTAACCATATGTTCTATGCTAACAGTTTATTTTCTCGCACTTCGCACTTGTGGACCTCCATTGTGGCTTCTTGCTTTCCATTCAACTGTGATCTTCAAAAATTGAAATGCAATGTCAATCATTATCATTTGTCTTAATTCCTGTTCATCTATTGTTCTCTCTCATTAATAACGTTTTCTTTTTCTTATCACCTTTCACGCTCGGAAACCCCTTGCATCTTAGTGGCTCCATTGCCTTGCTTGGGGATGTAATGATTAAAAAATATGTAGTAATACAAAATACAACTTGTTGTATGATGATTTTTCTATTGTGGGTGTCATTTAAATTAGTCTGTACTGCAGACAATCTGACACCAGTATGGGCCAACACAGCCAGGCAACAATACTATAAGAATGCAGCAGTGAAAGTGTTAATCTCTCAGCTTATTCCACATGGCCAGCACAGCCAGGTGACAATGTTATAACAATATAGCTGTGAAAGTGTTAATCCCTCAGCCTATTCTAAACGGGCCAGCACAGCCAGGCAACAATGCTATAACAATGCAGCAATGAAAATGTTAAAATGGCTCAGCATAGCCCTAAATTGTAAGCAAACATCTAGAGACCCCTAGACAATTACTGGAAATGTATATATCTGTTATCTTTTCTTTTATTATTTCAAAATATTGTTGTTATTTTGGTTGATATAGAAGTTATTATAGACACAACATTACGACCAGATACTCTCTGGTCATCATCAGGTGTCCATTGATTGGTTGGTATGACACCTGATGATGGCCAGAGAGTACGTGGTCAAAATGTATCTATAATGACATCTATATCAACCATGATGAGAGCAATAGTTCAAAATGATAAAAGAATGTATTTCATCTCAGAAATGAAACGCTAAATTATGAAATGTGGAATGAAGCCACCATTATAACCAAATGTCAAAAAGCCATCTGACACTGACTATAAAAGGCTCCAAAAAACACACTTTGGGACAGTGATTGCCCTAATGTGTTGCCATTATGTGGCGGGCATTTCTGACACACACCGACACATTACTGTCATCTAGTGGTCATTAGTTCAAACCTTGGATCAGCTAGTAATACATGACTTCAACGAGAATGAACATAAACGGATGTATCCCATATCAACCAATCAATAGACACCTGATGGTATTTATCAATCCACCCACGGGGATCAAATGTGGCACAAGGCCTTTTTAATGTGGGTATCTCTGAGCCCGTAAGCCCAGCCAAAAATAAATAACCATCCAAACCCAAAAGGCGGGCCAGTTCAAATCAACCTCCCCCAACGAAACCCTACCCTTTGGCGGAGCTTCGTCCGGGTTCCTCTCTGCAAGCAGAGTTCGACAGACACCCAACCCGGCAGCTCACAAAGCGCAGATACTACACTTTGATCCTAGCCACCGGTCTGAGCGGGTATTACCTGATGACCAGAAGATGCTGGGTCGGAATGTGTCTATAATCTGACCCTGAACTACCACCAATCAGGTTTAATGGTGGTTTTCTTGGGGAAGCACTATGCCTTGACAGACTGTTGGGCCTCAAACTCACACCTGACCACAAGTGGAACTCATATGATCCATTATGAAGGTTGCAGGTAAAATGGTTGGCTCACTGTACCATTCTAGTAAGTACCTGACTCCTGCTCTTCTCTGCCTTTACACGAGTCAGATCAGGCCAGAAATGGAGTACTATTGTCATATTTGGGTGGGAGCTGCCCAGACCTCACTCTCCAGCCTGGGTAGATCAAAAGCATCTCTGAGCCTTTGTGGGTGATGAATTATTCTCCACTCTTCAACCTCTCTCTCATAGGTTGCTTGTGGCAAGCTTCTCACTGCTCTACCACTATTTGCACAGAAAGTGCTTGAACAAACTACATTCCCTCATCCCGCCAAGGCAGACCTTCACAGCAAGAAAAAGCCATGCCACTTACATAGTAGCAAACCACTCACATTCTCTCTGTATTCCATTGGTGAGAAGTAAGTTCCACTATTTCAGTTTCTTCCCGCGAACCACTGCCCTGTGGAACTGATTCTTAAAGAGGATGTTTCCCTGATTGCTACAATATTAACATGACCATGGCTAGGATTAACCATTGTTTTCCACTCCTATACGCAGAAATGGCTTCCAAATGTAACCTTCTACCTCGAGTGGCTCTTGGGTCTTGTAAAGGGTAAACCTTACTTAAAAAAAAAAATCTGTATCAAAGAAGATGAGAACAATAATTTGAAATAATACAAGAATACTGACAATTACATCTCTCGGAAAAGAAATAGTTATATTTTGTCATTGTTATGAGAAGCACTTTTTTTTTTTTTTATTAATATTCACTTTATATAAGGCCCAAGAGCCACAAAAGGTAGAAGGTTGATATATCCCATCTGCCATTTTTTATTTATTTTTTTAATACTTCATTCAAATGAAATTGGTTTGAGATCAAACATTAAATGCTAATAACTTTGTTTCGATTTCACTCCTTTCAGGTGAGATTGCTATTCGTGTGTTCCGTGCTTGCACAGAGATGAGCATTCGAACTGTGGCTATTTATTCAGAACAAGATATGATGCATATGCACAGACAAAAAGCGGACGAGTCATATTTGATAGGCAAAGGGTTGGCACCTGTAGCCGCTTACCTTAATATTCCAGAAATAATTAATATTGCCAAGGTAAGTAACTTTCTTTTCCCATCGGTTGCTCAGATAATTGATATTGGAATTCCCCTTCTTTTTTTCTATGACCTTCTCCTTTTCTTTGTCAAGCCTTCTATGGCCTTCCCCTGTTCAGTGATGCTCATATGGCCTTCCCCTGTTCAGTGATGCTCATATGGCCTTCCCCTGTTCGGTGATGCTCATATGGCCTTCCCCTGTTCAGTGATGCTCATAGGGCCTTCCCCTGTTCGGTGATGCTCATATGGCCTTCCCCTGTTCAGTGATGCTCATAGGGCCTTCCCCTGTTCAGTGATGCTCATATGGCCTTCCCCTGTTCGGTGATGCTCATATGGCCTTGTTCGGTGATGCCATATGGTTCCCCTGGTGATGCTCATATGGCCTTCCCCTGTTCGGTGATGCTCATATGGCCTTCCCCTGTTCGGTGATGCTCATATGGCCTTCCCCTGTTCGGTGATGCTCATATGGCCTTCCCCCTGTTCCACGTCCCTGCTCCTATGGCCTTCTCCCTGTTCCACGTCTATGTTCCAGCACAGAAAACTGTTTTTTTATTTTGTTTTCTGCTTCCTTGGAGTTCACATCTCACTGACTTGCAGAATGAATCGGAAGGTGATCTAAATTCAGCGGAGTATAATATCTATATATATAATTCTAATATTAAATTTTATCATATAATTTAGTAATTATTGGTTAGAATAAATTCTTTTTTAATACTGCCCATATTTTAAATATCTGAATAGCTATTATAACATGACTTCGTTGTCAAGCTTTTTGAATTTTCCTATACTTGTATTTTGATTGGTCCATCTAGCTTTTGTAACAACGTTTTCCCCTTGTGAAGTATTGTTAATTAATTCGAAACTTTTAAAACCATTTATTTTACACTCAACATCATCACTTGATAAGACACCGAGGGTGTTGAAACAAAATAGCTATTTTTGTAGTGATTTTATAACATATCTATGTTATTTTTTTTTTTTAAATAAATAATATATATATATATATATATATATATATATATATATATATATATAAGTTATGGTCTAATAGGGAGGTCACTATCACCATTTGGCAAATCACCTCTTAATCTATTCTCACATGTCATGTTTTAATTTTGACAAAGCCTGTCGGTTGAAGCCTAAAATGATCTTTTAACACAGGTGTCAGCAACTTCCGACTCTGGGTCTCATCTGGTCTGTGAACCCACAAACTTAACACCTGGATACTAATTATCTAATTAATTTTTGGCACAAGTTGGCAGAAAATTACCAGTTGGTGTTAATCGATTTACAATTCAAAAAAAATTTTTTTTTTTTTTTTTTTTTTAAATCAAAATTTTATTCTGAGTCCACTTCTGACTTTTACAAGAAATATGTTTTGTCAAGTGGAAAATATAGAAGCTAATTAAATAATGCAAAAACGATGGTATCGTTATTTGGAAGTGCATATGCACGTGAACAGCTTTTTTCGAAGATAAAACGTACTATAAGTCGTTTAAGAACCAGGTTGGGGGATGACAACATGGATTATCCTTCGCTCCTGTCATTGACAAATATTGTGGAGAAGTTATTGAACTATAAACAGTAACAAGTGCCTCGTTAAATAATTTGTCATTTTCAACTGTACAGGGTTTGATGGATAAATTGTCGTTTAAATTATACAAAAATGAAAATAACACTGACATCTCATTTTAACAGATATATTTACCAAAATTACGCAAAAATTACAAGGATTTTTGTTGGTCTCTCTCTCAACTGTGTCCCACAAATAATGATCAAAGGGGTTGCAGTCTGGGGAGTGGCCAGATGTAAGGGGTGAAGGGCTTACAGCAATTGTTTGACAGCCATGACTGGGTTCTCCTGCTTGTGTGGTATGGTGCATCTGGTCTTCCAGCAGCCACCCTCTTGACCTAGAGCAGCACTACCTTCTCAAGGTCTCTGTGTTGAGCCTGAGACCCTGTGCGAATATGACTGGAGTTATAGTTGCCATCGCTAGTGATCACTACAAACACCTTTGTAATCACCATTAGACTCCTCCAACTCATTCTGAATCCTCTGCATTGTCCCCAGATTGACATCCAAACACTCAGAAGGGTTTGCATTGGAGCTTCTGGGGCAAATGCCAAGCATTACAGCTTGCCATTTCCAACTTTCTGGAGGAATGATTTGCATCATGGTGCTTTTTTTTACCCCACAGACGGTGCCCAACTGACCCTACTACACTGTGTAGTTGGCAAAAACAATGTGCAAAATTTAAAATATAAATAGTAAGGAATTTGCATTTTTTATTGATTGCATTAGATGTTACCCTGTTATTCCTACAGTAAAATAAGTAATCTTTAAATAATATAACATTAACTTTGTCGTTTTTACTCTAAACCTCTAAGCAGGCTTCCGGATGGAGCGGTCTCAGGTTGAGATGATTTATGTTATAAAATAAAATAAGACATATCTCGGCTGATTTACAGGCAAATAAACTAACATACTCAAGAGCCCCATCACAAAATGACCATTATCTTCACTTACGCATGTTTCCGACGCACGAGTTCCAGTCGAAAAATAAAATAATATTTTAAAGTGTTTTTTTTCGACCAATAAAAATGCTTCCCTCCTAATTATATGTGCGTCATTTTTCGAGCCTGTTAAGCCATAAAAAACGCCATAAAAGGGGTCACACGGGAAGTACACCAGGCAGTCAACAGGAGGCCAGGGAAGAGACCTGTCACGGTCAGGCTGAGCGGTCAGCAGCAGTCGTGCCACACCAACCAGCGAGAACTACTATGAGAGATCAACCCAGATCTTCAGCCAGCCTATGAACTATACCACAAGGTAGCTGTCCCAAACCCGCATGTTCCTGTTGAAATAAATCACATAAATCTATTTCTGCTGTTGTTGTATTTCTTTCTTGCAACCATATGCTTGTCTATAACATTTATTATAGTACCTTTCATATCATGGCTCACCTTCAAGACACCACTTAGCTTTCTGACCCACTCTCTGCAAAAGGTTGCTGACCGCTGTTTTAACAGATTTGAAGTTTCAAACTGAACGTGTTTTCCTTTCTTAAATTTTGTATTTCTTCATAAAAAACATTCAGACATGATAATATCCATTTTCAGGAAAACGATGTTGATGCTATCCACCCGGGTTACGGTTTTTTGTCGGAGAGGTCTGATTTTGCTCAGGCCTGTCTGGATGCTGGCATTAACTTCATCGGTCCCAGCCCTAAGGTTGTTCAACAAATGGGAGACAAGATTGAAGCTCGACAAGCAGCAATACAAGCAGGTAAGTACTGGCGGGTTATTTATTTTGCTCTGGCTCTGGGCTCTGAGTTTCTGTGATCAGATTGATTAAGTTGCTGTCCATGTATGACAAGAACCTGGAGCAAAGCATATGGGTTTGAGGCTGGTTGAAAGCACTTTCTTGTCTGCTGTAGTTGGTATCGAAATTTTGAACCTTATTCAATCCACTGGGGGCGGGGGTCTTCTCTTTGTGCAATCTGTGCAAGAGGGTATTTAATTTTTTTTTATTTTTATTTTTTTGTAAATCAATTTGAAGGCATACAATTGTGTCCAAAGTCTGTCTATATTTCTGAGATGAGGTATTATGTACATTATTTACATTATTCGGACTATTGTCCTCATCTTTGTCGCCATATTTATCACAACGTTTCGGCCATTGTACGCTCTGGCCTTCAAGGACACATGGCCCAGTGGATAAAGGCGTTGGTTAGATCCAGTGGCAGGACCCAAAAAGTGAGTTCAATACCCGGTTAAGGCAGTGGAGAACTTTCAAAGGGAAATTAACAGGAGATAACTGATAACTGACATCCATTAAACATGGCACATGGAACTAGAACTGTCTACCCCGGTGAGCAAAATAAAGGGTTCAGTTCGACATTCCAACCACCTGAAGAAGGCCAGAGTGTACAATGGCTGAAATGTTGTGATAAATATGGCGACAAAGATGAGGATAATAGTCTGAATAATGTAAATAATTGTGTCCAAATATATTTTTAGTTCAGTCCATAAGATTGTCTTCCAATTATTGAGATTTCACTATTGATTAACCTATAGGGTTTGATATACCGCTAAACAAAGTCCATAAGATTGTCTTCAAATTATTGAGATTTCACTATTGATTAACCTATAGGGTTTGATATACCGCTAAACAAAGTCCATAAGATTGTCTTCCAATTATTGAGATTTCACTATTGATTAACCTATAGGGTTTGATATACCGCTAAACAAAGTCCATAAGATTGTCTTCCAATTATTGAGATTTCACTATTGATTAACCTATAAAGTCCATAAGATTGTCTTCCAATTATTGAGATTTCACTATTGATTAACCTATAGGGTTTGATATCAACCAACCAAACAGCATCATTCTTGAAAATGTATTTAAATATCTGCATATTTTTTTAAAAACAGTACACTTTTGTTAATTTATGTAATTTTTTTTCTTTGATTAAATAATATCACTACTTTAAAAATGTATCTATTTATTTGTTCTTTAAATAAAATAAAAAAAGGAAAAGATTTTATCATGTATTATGGGAGTTCCTTTTTTGAGAGACCAAAATTGCAATCGACTAATCTCTTCTCCTCTATCTCTTGATCCCATTTTCTAGTTAAATAAGTTAAAAAAGTCAAAGAGAATGATAAAAGTATCGTTAGTAACGCTATACTCGTTGCGTAAATGCGTACAGCCATAAACAGACAAGAAACGACTAAACAGCTTATAAACGTAAACAATGGAAAAGATGCATATTCACTATAATTGTATTTTATAATCAATCAGTTATTTGCCATGTGTAATACATGATTAGGCGATCATGTATCTCTTGATACATGACAGATTTTTTTTCCTGCAGTAGGTTGCCATTTCTTTCTGTGGTAGACCAGTTGCCATCCAAAGCTATAGAACCTGGTCTGTCCTGCTATTTACCTATAGCTGGGAGGAGAATAGGATTCGTACCTTTTAGCACATAAGTGAATGTAATGGATTTGACTGCGATTTGAACCCGGCTCTCCTATTCCTCAATATTAGCCACTATCCATTACTCCACCGTACATGCTGTATTTTATAATATGATACTAATATGTGAATATTATATATGAATATTACATGCGTTATTATTGGGTACAGTTAAGTAAAACATCAGTTTTATCAAAATTATGTTCATTTTAAATACAGCTGTACTTTTTGATTACAATAAATGGATATAGAGTTTGGTCAACAGTGTAGCCAGGGCCAGCAGTACATAGGCTAATTTTAGATCTTATGTATGATGCGACCCTCTTAAAATTAGCTTCAAAATCAGGTCTTCAAAAGTCACATGATATGTGAGTATACATAGTATATCCATTTGTTAGAAGAAATCTTTTTGTAAAATATCGAAATCTCGATTTGCAGGTACTATGTCACAAATCACAATGCACGTAACCAGTCAGAAAAATAACTCACTCACCAACGACCACCGCGGTCGCTAAATACATGAATTTCCCCCCCAATTTGAGAACACACCAACTGCTTTTATCGCCCGAGCATTTTTTCCATTTGTTGACAACTGGGAGAGGACGCCCAATTTTGCATATTAAAATATTTTTATGGTGACTCCTGTGACTGACTTGTTTCGAATTTAAATATTTCGTCTTTAGCATATCATGCAGAATACGTGCCCTTTTTTTCAGCAAGTAGCTTTCTTTCTTGCCACATTTTCTGTCGTAGGATACATGCGACATGCTGTCACTTGGTTTGACAAGGTAATTCGCCATTTTCTTCACTATATCACTACTTGATGAATACCAGGTACATTCAGCTTGGATGTGAGGGTGGTGTAATAGATAAAGGCTTGGAATTGGTAATCGGAGAGCCAAGTTTCAATTCCAGTTAGGTTTGATATATTCACTTATGTGCAAATACCCTTGAAAAAGGTATGAATCTACTTCTCCCCCTACCTATGGATTAATTAGTAAGACTTGTATCACTAAACTATTATTATCTCTCAAAAAAAAATTCTTAATCTAAAAATATTTCCTGTTTTTAAATAACCTGAAAAGGGTTGATAAGCCATAAAAAACAAATCAATCTATATTTTTTACAAGTGGAAAAGTCTATTTAAGTATTGCTGAAATACATTGTGGGTAATTTAAAAAAAAAAAAAATGAATTGCCATAATTAAAAAGAAAAATTATCAAAGGACTAATTATTGCAAATAACTAAATGATTCAAATTTATTTGTCCAGCAATTCTAAATATGTGCCTCATTTTGAATAAATTCTGAAGAAGGTCAAATTTGCAAAAATGTCAAAGGTATTTACACAAATTTAATGTTATTTTTTTTTTTTTTTTTGTTTATTATTATCTCAGGTGTAAAAGTTGTTCCAGGCACTGACATGCCACTTAAAAGCTCGGAAGAAGCTGTTGAATTCTGTAAAAAACATGGTTTTCCTGTGATCTTCAAGGCAGCCTATGGTGGTGGTGGTCGTGGTATGAGAGTTGTCAGATCTATGGATGTACGTATATGATAAATTTTTATGCATTAATTAGAAATAAAATAGACATCATCAGTGGCATTTAAGTAATGTCTGTGTTGACTTAATCTGCAGATATCAGATTTATTTTAATAAATCCAGAGCTGGTTCAAGGACTTTGTGCCTTGCTCAATTTTCATAAGATTGTACTCATATAAAATATAAATTCTAATTGTAACCTAATTATGTAAAATAATGGATCATATGGAAATGATGTGTACAATTCAACTAGAAAAATAGAAAATAAATACAATGTATTTAAACTCCTTTGTTAAACTAATGCCCACTGTGGGAGCCTTAATAGGAAGTCTATTATTAGTATAGGATATTATTTTATAAATAATCTATAATTAATATCAGATTTATTTTAATAAATCCAGAGTAGGTGCAAGGACTTCCTGCCTTGCTCAATTTCCATAAGGTAGTATTCATATAAAATATAAATTTTAATTGTAACCTAATTATGTAAAATAATGAATCATATGTAAAGATGAACAATTCAACTAGAAAAATAGAAAATAAATGCAATTAATCTAAATACAAACTAGAGACCTGTCATAATAGATCATTCCATCTTAAATAAATCAACAAGGTTTTGCGACAGTTTTTAACATCAACTTTCTTATGAAAAAGTGGAATAATATTAACACATTCAACATTATGGATAAAAAATAACGAGTTTTATATATATATATATATATATATATATATATAAAGGACATCTCAATTTTCATATAAAATACAAATTTTATTGTAACCTATTTATGCACAATAATGAATCCTATGCAATATCGGTAAACAATTCAACTGGAAAAATAGAAAATAAATGCAATCTATCTAAATACGAATTAGAGACCTGTCATAATAGATCATTCCATCTGAAATAAATCAACAATGGCAATTTTTAATATCAACTTGAGATTTTTCTTGTTAAAAAGTTGAATAATTTTAACACATTAAACATTATGTATAAACTATAGTGAATTTTATATAGTGTTTTTGTTTTTTTTTGTTTTTTTTTTTTTTTTTTTTTTTCCGGGAACAAAACAAATTTTTTTTTAGCATGAACAAAATAAATTCGTTTATTTTGGGGAGAGGGGAATAACAACTAAAAAAAAATTAAATTAAAGATATAACTCCAAAGAACATTGGTCGCTCAGTCAATGAATGCCAAATGTTTTCTTATAAGAAAACAGCTAATATTAATGTTAGCATTTACCAAAATATATAAGAAAGCAATGGATTTTTGTAAAAAAAGAATTCACTTAACTCTGTAATCACAGTTTGAGTTACACCCTTGCTATATTTATGGCCAAAGCAGCATTTTCCATCGTAGCCGCAAAGACAAATTAGTGTAACACCAAGATTTTTTAATACAGAATGTGATTTTTCGGTTGCTATCAGTGATTATACTTCATTCAACCACCCTGATTCTATCTGTATTGCAGTGGTGAGATACAAGTTCCACCAAAGAAGCAGCTTCCCACCCACGAACTGCTGCTTTGTAGAACCAATTCCCAAGAGGATGTTTTCCCAATCATTACAATCTTAACCTGTTCAAGTCTGGGATCAACTGTTATCTTCCCCACATATTCCCATAAACTGTACCTCTTACTCTGTAACCCTCTACCTCGAGTGGCTCTTGGGCCTTGTAAAATTTCGGAATCTGCCCTCTGAAGTTCATATTTCTTAAATTTTCAGGAAGTAAAAGAGAATTTTGACCGAGCGTATTCAGAAGCACTCTCTGCATTTGGTGATGGGTCTTTGTTTTTGGAAAAGTTCATTGAAAAACCCCGACACATTGAAGTCCAGATATTGGGTATGTATGCCTCTTGTAATGAGCCAGGGTTTTGGGATTGTGTGTCTAATGTTTTTTTTTTTTTTTTTTATTTTTAATTTTTTTTTATTTTTTGCTTTAATCATTTCACCCCAAAGAAGGCGTTAAAGCCCCTAAGGAACAAGGGGTTACTGGGAGTTAAAAAAAAAAAAAAAGAATGAGAAAACTTTAGTGAAGAGGAAGAATAAAAAAAAAAAAAAAAACAGGAATCAGAAAGACAGATGTTGATTGGCGTTGAAGATTACACTGGTCAACACAATTTTTGGTTCCAAGAAACAACGTCATTTTTTTTAGCTAATTTGATGGCGCTGATAACGAAAATGACCTTAGCTTTTCATGGTTTGGTACTTTTTTGCTGTACTGAAATTACTCATTTTTGGAAAAAAGATAAATTTACAGTCGTAGCTGATTTCAAAATTTAGTTAATAAAGGTCGTAGAAACCCATTGATTTTTAGGTAAGCTGAGCAATTCATGTCAGCACCTACCTGTACCTGTAATGACATTCACCTAGGGTGGGTTGCGCCAGCTCCAATATTGGAGTTTCATGGGAATTTGGAATTCACAAGCATTCCCCAGACCCGCATGTATAGGTTCCCAGGAACTTTATTTATGTCAGCCATCTGAAAGAAACTATTTTTATAAGAAAAAAAAATTTTTTGAGTCAACAATTTTAAAATAGAAATACTGAATTTTTCCAATTTATCGCCAAAATTCAAATTAACTGATAAAGTTTATCAGTAATACACTTTAGTAAACCTGATAATTAAGGTGACATCAAAGAAATGAAATCCTAAAATCTTCTGTTTGATATTCATAAATTTATCCTATCATTTTTATCCCTTCACTACGGAAGGAAACCAAGCACATTGAGAGCATTTTGTTTTCATAGCTGGAAAGAAACTCCAACTAAAAACATCCCAATTGAATGCGCCTATTCCATTGCACATGATGAACATTATGAAAATGGTTTCACCATAACATCTGCCCTCCACATGGGATTAGGAACATCTAATCACACCCTGATCTGAAATTATGCTCTTGGACATCATTTGTTGACATGGTGAAAAATTTCTTAGGTAATCGCTAGGCTGAAAACTACAAGGTGTTAGTGAAAAAGCTATTGAAAAGTCTACAAGCGATAATGAGTATCATTTTTTGCATAGCCATCTAGATAAATTTCCGGTTAATTGCGGTGATGTGAGAGATGAGCAAAGAGAACGATTCCATCAGGATATCAAAATGAAAGAGCGCTACCAGAGACAGTTGGACAAACGAATAATGGCTGACTACTACTGGAGTATCAAAAGGGACTTAAATAAAATTGAACATGATAATCAAGAAAGAGAAAATTTTTACCCTAGTTCTTATGTTCACAAAGGTTTTATTTTTGCTGTTAGTTTATTAAATGATTTGATGTAAATACTTGTTGGTCTTGGTATATTCAATTGCATTATTTTTAAAGGGTCTGATTGTTATTGCAAAAATAGTATTTCTCAATAAGCAGACCAATATTTGTTGGTTAAAATACGAATTGAGAGGTTTCTATTATTTTTACTTTGAGAAATATTGCCATTGGTTAACGTCATATATACAGAAAACATAATAAAAATGTTTTTATAAAAAAAAAAATTAGGCATTTCTGTACAGCAAAAACGGTAGCTAACCAAGAAAAAGTAAGGTCATTTTCAGATTCAGCGCTCTCAAATTGGTTAAAAATGATATTTGGTGTCTTGACACCATTTCAAAAGATTTTTTTGTTAACCAGTGAAGCAAGAAAGAAAAGCATTCTAGAGGCAATAAGTGCAAGAAAAGAAACCATTTGAATAGAACTTGGTTACAGTTAGCTATTTCAACAGTGAAAGGACCTAAGTGCCAATCTAGTAGAATACCTAAATTCACACAGTCAAGGTACCAAGGAAGAGAGCTCTTTAGCACAATTGTCATGAAAATATTTTGGAGAAAAGACAGAAGCCACATCACAGCAGTCGGAAAATGAATGAAATCAAGATACCAGGTCAGATAACTTTACAGACCCTTTGGACTCCGTCAGGAATCACAAGATATATGGCATTAGCTTAAAAGTCACCCTATCGGGCACCATTTAAGCTATCAGGTCTTCCTATAAGTTCTGTCCGAATTTTGAATAAAGAAAACAAGTGACCAAATGTTACATTTAATTACAGATTCAATCAACAATGTATTTTCCCTGATTATCTATGACTTCCTTCCATCTATTAACAAGCTTACTAATTCCATTACTGTAAAATTCTTTTGGCTTTGATTCAAAGAACTCACAAATGTCAGTTTTAACCTCTTCCTGTGTTACAAAAGCTGCTTGTTCCAAATGATTCTGTAAGCTATGAAACAAATGGTAGTCTGAAGGAGCAAGATCGGGAGAATAAGGTGGATGAGGAAATTTCTCCCAACCAAGTGCTTTGATCTTTTGTGATGTGATTCTTGCTGTGTGGCGTTGCGCATTGTCCTGATGAAACATCACCCCTTTTTGATTCACTAGAGCAGGTCTTTTTTTCCTCAAAGCTTGGTTCAAATGCTCTAATTGCTGACAGTATATTTGAGCATTAATTGTTGCATTAGGTGATAAGAATTCAAAATGGATTATTCCTTGGTGATCCCACCAAATTGAAAGAAGAACCTTTTGCCCATGAAGCTCCCTTCTTGGCTGTGGCTAGGGTCCTTCCCCTTTACCAAGCCACTGTCTACGACACTTAACATTTTGATAAAAGATCCATTTTTTCGTCGCCAGTCACAAGTATATGCGAAAAAGGTGAAAAAAGTTGGCAAGAATGGAGAGAAGAGCAGATGTCAACTCAGGATTTGAGGTTGTTTTCAGACAATTCATGAGGCACTCATTTTCCAAGTTTAGGAACTTTTCCAAGTTGTTGAAGATGACAATGAACAGTTGCATGGTTTGAACTGAGAACCATTGCCAATTCCTCAACTGATAAAGCAGGATTTTCTTCAAGGGCTGCTTCAAGAAGCTTTTCATCAAACTCAACTGGATGTCCGGTTCGATCTTCATCTTCAAGGGTGAAATCTCCACCTCTGAATTTTGCAAACCATCTTCTGCAAGTTCTTTCATTCACACATTCCTCTCCATAAACTGAGTGAATGTTTCTAGCCGCTTGGGGCTGCTGAGTTTCCTTTCTTGAACTCATAAAGCATTATGTGCCTCAAATGATTCTTGGGTACTTCCATGTTAGCAGGGTTTTAATCAAACAAAATTTAATTTTATTGTTCTCTGAAATAAAATTTGATCAGTTTAAATGCATCTAAACATAAAAATAATGTTCAGCTCCATTAGACATTGTAAAATACTCTTTAAATTTTGTTCATTTTAACAAAAAATTAAAATTTGGACAACTTATGGGATGACTTGATAGCTCTTGTGGAGGGCTCTTGACTGGGCCTTTGGCTTGTTGAGGAGTTTGAGAGTCCCTAAGTCTTTGCATATTCATAGTATTGGAAGCTCTCCTGTCTGCTGTTTGATCTGGGTTTTCATTTGCACAGGACTTTCTTTTCCTTGCTGCAGCCTTGGCTTTTTTTATTGCAATCTGGTCCTCTGTTGGTGGAGATTTCATTTTGCGAGGCATACTCCCGCCGTATGTGACAGGCAACAATAAACAGCAGAAGAACTCAAAATTGATTGCTGCATTTAAGTATTGCATTAATATTTAAACATACCTTTTTAAAAGTTCAACAATAATTCTTCTGCTGCGACTTAATTTAAAGACAATTTGATGTACATAGGTCCTTATTTTCCGTACAAACAGTTGTTTTTATTTCTTGGGTGACTTTCGCTGGATTTTGCAGTTAATTTCAGTTATTCCTAAATCTTATTTCTAAGTTATAAAAATTATTATCGTACAAAAAATGAATTGCAAAAAATCATGTTAAAAAAAATTGCTAAAAACAATTGCAGTAATGAAAACTTTGGAATCCCAAATTTCAGGATTGTGGGTCTGGATCTGGCCCGGAATGTTTTTAATTTGTTCATGGAGTTGATCTGATTCCAATATCGTGTGATATGTTGGGCTATGGCCTCGATGTTGGATTGAAAAATACAAAAAAAGAAAAAAATGAAGAAACAAGAAAGGGCTTAGTGGTTATTACTCCTCACTCTTCAGAGTCAAATCAAGGGCAAAACAACTATATGCACAATGATTAAATGGAAATGAGGCTAAATGTAATCGTCTGACTTTTATATTGCTGATTCTCTGGTTAGATTTTTTTTTTATACGGCTGGTTCTCTGGTAGTATTTTGTTTTTACTGCTGATTGTTTGGTATTTTTTACTACTAATTCTCTGGCAGTATTTTTTTTTTTTTTTTACTGCTAATTCTCTGGCAGTATTTTTTTTTTTTTTTACTGCTAATTCTCTGGCAGTATTTTTTTTTTTTTTTTTTTTTTAACTGCTAATTCTCTGGCAGTGTTTTTTTACTGCTAATTCTCTGGCAGTATTTCTTTTACTGATAATTCTTTGGCAGCATTATTTTACTACTGGTTCTGGTATTTTTTTTACTGCTGATCTCGTAGTATTTTTTTTTTACTGTTGATTCTCTGGTAGTAATTTATTTTTTATACTATCATATCTGAATTTTTTAATCTCTTTTCCTCAATTCTTTGCATTCCTGTTCTTGTTTCCAGGTGATAAACACGGCAATGTTGTCCATCTCTTTGAACGAGACTGTTCTGTCCAGCGACGACATCAGAAAGTTGTCGAGATTGCTCCAGCCCCACAACTTGATCCTAGCATTAGAGACGCAATGGCAACCAGTGCAATCCGCCTGGCCAGGCATGTTGGCTATGAGAATGCTGGCACCGTGGAATTTCTTTTGGATGGTGATGGACAGTTTTACTTCATTGAGGTGAATGCTCGATTGCAGGTGGAACATACTGTTACTGAAGAAGTCACCGGGTAAGTGCTCGAAGCATCTTTCATATTACTGTTAATATTGTTTTACTAATTTATCCAGTCTTCCAGATAGAGGTGTGCATTCCTAGAAAATCAGCATTCAAGATTCTGGCTTTTATCTGGGCTTGAAAACTGACCTCTGTCTTTGGCATAGATGCCTGCTTACTTTTTAGCTGAAAATTAAATTTCTTGTTCCCATCCCTGTGTTAGACTAAAAATATCTTGCGAAACAGCAGGAACTCCTTGAAAAAGTATTAAAGGAAAGCATGATGAAAGGACTATTGACTGTAAGACATAATGTATGGTTGTCTGCAAGAACAGCCCAAGACGTGAGCTACAGATTGGAGATATTAGTAGAGGAAGTTAACGATCTGGGAAGCATTTTAACAAATAATGAAAAATGTGACTGTGAAATCTGAAGGTGCACTGGAATAGTGACAGGTGCTTTCTAAAATCTAAGCAAAGTATTATATGGCAGTATGAATGCTGGACAACCTCCTCACAGATGAAGAAGAGACTTGAAGCAACAGAAACAAAGAAAAGAGTACTGAACTGTTACGTAATATCAGTCCTATATGGCAGTGAATGCTGGACAATCTCCTCACAGATGAAGAAAAAGACTTGATCAGTCCTATAATGAAGAAACAAATGAAAAAAAAGTAGAAACAAAAGAAAAGTGTACTGAACTGTTATGTAATATCAGTCCTCTTATATGACAGTGAATGCTGGACAATCTCCTCACAGATAAAGAAGAGACTTGAAGCAACAGAAACAAAGAAAAGAGTACTGAACTGTTACGTAATACCAGTCCTCCTATATGGCAGTGAATGCTGGACAATCTCCTCACAGATAAATAAGAGACTTGAAGCAACAGAAACAAAGAAAAGAGTACTGAACTGTTACGTAATACCAGTCCTCCTATATGACAGTGAATGCACAGATAAATCTCCTCAACAGATAAAGAAAAGAGTACTTGAATACCAGTCCTCCTATACTGAAACAATCTCCTCACAGATAAAGAAGAGATTTCTGGACTGCTATTTCTGGACTGCTATATAATATCTATCTTTCTGTTGTCTCAAGTCTCTTCTTTATCTGTGGGGAAATTGTCTATCATTCATGGTCGTATAGGAGCAAAGAAAAGAGTGCTGAACTGCTATATAATATCTATTCTCCTGTACGGCTATGAATGCTGATCTTCTTTGCGACACATAATGAAGAAGGAGGGCTTGGAGAATCTGACACTCACAGGGCATATTGTGAAGCAGAGAGAAAGTGAGTAACCAGCCTAATGAGCCTGTATAAATGGAGGGCAAAACAGTGGGAAGAAAATTTTTAAGTGATATGCTCCAAGCTTTTTTGGAATCTAAGCTACAAAGTATTGAATCTGTTTCTTTTGAGCAACAAGGAATGATCTTGATTTAGCACTTGACAACAGGAAGAATTAAATGTTTATCTTGTCATTTGGATTTCAGGGTTGACTTGGTGCAGTCCCAAATTCGTGTTGCTGAAGGCAGATCATTGCCTGACATGGGTCTTTCACAAGATAATATAAAACTTAACGGCTATTCTATCCAGTGTCGGATGACAACAGAAGATCCAGCCAAGAACTTCCAACCTGATACAGGCAGAATTGAGGTAAGAAAACTTATTCTGACAGTTTCTCCCTCTCTTTGTATGTATTTTTCTCCCTCTCTCTCTCATGGATTTTTCTCCCTCTCTCTCTCATGGATTTTTCTCTCTCTCTCATGGATTTTTCTCTCTCTCTCATGGATTTTTCTCTCTTTCTCTCTCTCATGGATTTTTCTCCCTTTCTCTCTCTCATGGATTTTTCTCCCTTTCTCTCTCATGGATTTTTCTCCTTTTCTCTCTCATGGATTTTTCTCCTTTCTCTCATGGATTTTTTTTCTCCCTTTCTCTCTCTCATGGATTTTTCTCCCTTTCTCTCTCTCATGGATTTTTCTCCCTTTCTCTCTCTCATGGATTTTTCTCCCTTTCTCTCTCTCATGGATTTTTCTCCCTTTCTCTCTCTCATGGATTTTTCTCCCTCTCTCTCTCTCATGTACATATTTTTCTCTCTCTCTCTCTCTCATGTACATATTTTTCTCTCTCTCTCTCTCTCTCATGTACATATTTTTCTCTCTCTCTCTCTCATGTACATATTTTTTTCTCTCTCTCTCTCTCATGTACATATATTTTTCTCTCTCTCTATGTACATATATTTTTCTCTCTCTCTCTCTATGTACATATATTTCTCTCTCTCTCTATGTACATATATTTTTCTCTCTCTCTCTATGTACATATATTTTTCTCTCTCTCTCTATGTACATATATTTTTCTCTCTCTCTCTATGTACATATATTTTTCTCTCTCTCTCTATGTACATATATTTTTCTCTCTCTCTCTCTTTCTCTGTAATTTTCTCCCTCTCTGTAATTTTCTCTTGCTCACTTTGTATGTACTTTTCACTCTCTCTCTGTATTTTCCCTCTCTCTCTGTATTTATTTTCGCTCTGTGTTACCCCTCTCTCTCTGTATTACCTTCTCTCTGTATGTCTTTTTTTTTTCTCTCTCTCTCTCTCTCTCTCTCTCTCTCACCCTCTTTCACCCTCTGTTTTCTTTCTCACCTCTGTTTTCTTTTCACCCTCTGTTTCTCTCTTTCACCCTCTGTTTCTCTCTTTCACCCTCTGTTTCTCTTTCTCACCCTCTGTCTGTTTCTCTTTCTCACCCTCTCTTTCTCTTTCTCACCCTCTGTCTTCCCTTTCTCTCTTTTTCTTTCTCACCCTCCTCTTTTTCTCTTTTCTCTCTCTTTCACCCTCTTTTCTCTTTCTCTCTGTTTCTTTTCTCACCCTCTGTCTGTTTCTCTTTCTCACCCTCTGTCTGTTTCTCTTTCTCACCCTCTGTCTGTTTCTCTTTCTCACCCTCTGTCTGTTTCTCTTTCTCTTTCTCACCCTCTGTCTCTCTTTTTCTCTTTCTCACCCTCTGTCTCTCTTTTTCTCTTTCTCACCCTCTGTCTCTCTTTTTCTCTTTCTCACCCTCTGTCTCTCTTTTTCTCTTTCTCACACCGTCTCTGTCTGTTTCTCCCCTTCGTCTCTCCGTCCTGTCCCCCTTTGTCTGACTCTCTGTCTTGCAATTAGTGACCTCCCCCAACAAAAACGTCAATAATACATTTTTATAATAAAATTACCAACAATACATTTTTGTAGTGAAATTATCAGCAATTCCATTAAAAAAAAAATTACAAGGAATACATTTATGTAAAAAAAACAAAAAAAAAAACAGTGTTTACTCTGAAAGCATAAAAATTACATACAAAATATCTGTAGTCAAAGGCATAAAATTACATTCAAAATATTTAGATTTCTGCATTAAATAATCCAAGATTGATATGCTGCTAAACAAAATCGGCTGACCAACTTTCTAAAAAATCAAATCCCACTTGAAAGGAACAAGGTTTCAAAACATTAATGAAATCCATGAGAATGCGACAAGGTAGCTGCTAGCTATCTTCAAGAAGGAGTTCCAGGAATTCTTCCTTCTTGGGAAATGAATAAAGTGTGTGGCTTCAAAACGAGACTACTTCAAAGGAGATTAAATGCAGACTTGATATATGTTGTAGTTTTCTTTTTATAATGCTAGTCCTGATTTTTTTTTTTTTTTTTTTTTTTTTAAATCTGATCGTGTATGAAAAATGTCACCGTAATATTTGAATATCTCTTTTTTTTGTCCAGGTGTTCCGGAGTGGAGAAGGCATGGGAATCCGTCTTGATGGCGCTTCTGCTTTTGCAGGTGCCATAATCTCTCCATACTATGATTCCTTGTTGGTGAAAGTTATTGCTTCTGCCTGGGATCATCAGTCTGCAAGTGCCAAAATGCTTCGAGCCCTCATGGAGTTCCGGATACGAGGTGTGAAGGTAAAAAAAGATGACCGATATTGAATTTTTTTTTCTTTTGTTTTTAAAATATCCAGAATTGTTCACCTTCGGAAATTGATAGGATATATATTTGTCCTTCCTCTTACCCTGAGGCATTAGGATTCACTTTAATGGAAATTTTTTCTCAGAATCTTCAGATATTAGAGCATTCGAAGTGCTTAATTTCTTGAGGGAAAAGTGACAACTTTTTAATTTTTTTTCTGTAATCATTTCTCTCCAAGCAAGGCAATAAAGCCACTAAGACACAAAGAGTTTCTGAATGCAAAAGAATAAGAAAAAAAGATAAACATTACCTCATCCGCAAATATTTTTTCACCAGGGTTTGATTTTCGGAACTTAGCCATGGGTTCCATATAAAAATATAATCTATAAAATCCAGAATGTTTGTGGTATGCACTGCTGGAGTGAACTGAAACTGCTAGTTTAATTTTTTTCTTGCTTTAAAAAATAAACTTTTTTTTTTTTTTTTTTTTTTTGTTTATGGTAACTACCTTTCTGTTTAGAGTAATTAAAGGTATTGGTGTACAAATTTCTATATTAAACAACTTTTCAAAGGAAAAATGATAACTTCAAAAAATTATCAGAGGTATGCAATTATCCAGGGACTCATTTGACTAGGGACACAAATATCCAGTACACAACTGTTAGTCCACCGTTTCCTTCCTAACCTTTTGTTTGAAGTTGTGTGGAATGTCAGCATCTTGATTGTTGCTTGGAGTTATTTCGCAGTGGAGGCTTGTATTTGTACTAAATCGGTCCTAAATAGGTTCGACGTACAAAACATTAGGAACTTGATATAATAGGTATTATGCAGAGTAATCTTGACCCTCGTTTCTCTTACTACTCCTACTTATATTAGATGGGAGAGTCTATTAACTATTATATTAGATGGGAGAGTCTATTAACTATTATATTAGATGGGAGAGTCTATTAACTATTATATTAGATGGGAGAGTCTATTAACTATTATATTAGATGGGAGAGTCTATTAACTATTATATTAGATGGGAGAGTCTATTAACTATTATATTAGACGGGAGAGTCTATTAACTATTATATTAGACGGGAGAGTCTATTAACTATTATATTAGATGGAGAGTCTATTAATATTATATTAGATGGGAGAGTCTATTAACTATTATATTAGACGGAGAGTCTATTAACTATTATATTAGACGGGAGAGTCTATTAACTATTATATTAGACGGGAGAGTCTATTAACTATTATATTAGACGGGAGAGTCTATTAACTATTATATTAGACGGGAGAGTCTATTAACTATTATATTAGACGGGAGAGTCTATTAACTATAGAATAGGGGTGTTTCACCATAACATTGATTGTTATTATTCTCTCTTCAAGTTACCTGTGCTATCTATTTTAGTTGTTGCTGCTGTTGGTAGTCCTCAAGTGATGTGGTTTCTGTTATTTTTGTACAGTTCTTTGTCTGTGTTTCTGTAGCGCCAATCTCTTTGAAGATGAGTAGTCTTCGCCAACACCAAAAGGCTTCAGTTGTTTATTTTGAAAGAAGAAAGAGCTTCCATTTTTTTTCCTTCTGGTTTCATGAGCAGTAGCAGACGGACTTTCCCTGCCCTCTCAGAAATAAAGTTGTTACGGCTCATTGAAATGCCACCAACTTTTTAATTTTATTTTTCTTATGAGTAATCACAATGTGACAATTATCTACAAACGTAAGTGGGACCCATAACCAAAAAATAACCTAGAGACGACTACCATAATTGATCTGGCAGGACGGACAAAGTTACAGAATGCAGTCCAAGAGGGAATGTCGGTGATGATAGATAATATTGAATCATAATGCCCATGATCATTAAGCAATGTTGGGCTTGGTCAGTACCTAGATGGGTGACTGCATGGGAATACCAAGTGCTGTAAGCTTGGATGTGCAGGTGGTGTAATGGCTCAGAATTGGAAATCAGAGAGCTGAGTTCAAGTTTCAGTCAAATTTGTTAGGTGCCTTGGGAAAAGTCTGAATTCATCTCTTCTCCCCCCAGTTATGGGTTAATTAGTAGAACCCCTATCAGTAAATCATTATTAACTGCAAAAAATTCTTTCACTCTAAAAATATTTTCTGTCTTGAAGTAACCTGAAAAAGGTTGATAGACCATAACAAATTTGAACTCTTGGCTATAGCTTTAAGTTGGTTTCCTTTCATATGGCAAATGTGTGTCAGTATGGACACAAAAGAGGCATTGAGTCACTTGTAAACATGTCTCTCAAAGGTAGTTAGTCACATCTGAGTTTCCCTGTTTGCAGTAGAACAGCTTGGTATATCCAGATATAGACCTCTCTGCAACTTGCCCAGATCTGGGTGTTTTGTTAACCATTTCATGTCAATAAAAGCGACAGGAAAACAAAATTCTTGAGTGAGTCTTGCCAAAAGCAGTTTGCTTTTGGCAAGACTCACTTTGCTATCATCAGAGATTCGGTGGCTTGTGAAGGCGTTCCCTTGGCACTTTTTTTTATTTCTTTCTTTTTTTTTTTTTCTCTCTGCCTGTTTCTCCTTAATTGTTAAGAGAATAATCTGTTACCGGTTAGTGTTTCCTCTGACTTCAGCACACACTTACCTTATTTTCCTACATTTCAATTGCAGACCAACATTCCATTTTTGCTCAATGTTCTTCAAAACGAACGCTTCCTGTCGGGAGTTCTGGACACCAATTTCATTGACGAACACCCAGAGTTGTTTCAATTTGAGCCATCCCAGAACCGAGCCCAGAAGCTCCTCCACTATCTTGGTCAAGTGATGGTCAATGGACCACAGACTCCTCTGGCCACAAATCTTGAACCTGCTGATATTGTACCAACTGTACCAGAGACACCAGTTGGTAAGTAAGATAGTTAATTTGAACATTTCTTTTCTCTGTTATTTTCGTTTAGGTATTTGGGTTGGATGTGTTTTTGCCTTTGGAATGGTCTTTTGGTTATTTACAAGCTAGCATTTTTTTTTATTATTATTAAATGCTCAAACAATAAAAGACTCAAGAGTCTCTCAAGGTAGAGGGTTAAAGGTTGTTGCATGTCTGTAAGAGGAGGAAGTAAATGCAGATTATGAGGATATGTAGGATAGATGATGGTTGACCCTAGACTTGAAGAGGTTAAGATTGTAGAGATTGGGAAGTATCATCTCAGGAGCCTGTTTTACACATTTAAGACCTGTGAATATTAGAAAAAAATATAAAATTTAAATATAACTTCACATTGATTCTTCTTGAATAAAATTACTGATGAAACTAAATTAGATATTGAAACCTTAAATTTATCAAATTAGCCATTTACTAATCTCGCTATTACAACCCCAAAGTGATGAGGCCTAACTGCCAATCTAGTACTGCACTTAAATTCATAAAGTTTAGGTGCCATAGAGGAAAGTAATATTTATTTCGAAAAATATAAAAATATGGCACAAGGCCAAAAAGGGGGGGGAGCGGAGGTCGTCTTCAGTCTGTCTTGCCTTAAACTTAGCTAGCCACGATTAATGACCCAAACATATCACGGTTTTCCTTATACCAAAAAACACATTCTTACTTACCATAATACTTAAGAAAGTCCTAACTGGTTCCCATATATACAATTTGTCTGGGGGAGGATGAATAAAAATAACAACATTCAAAAAAAAAAATAAAAAAAAGAAAGGAAAAAAAAAAAGTTCATCAGAACAGTTGCCATGGAAATATAGAAAAGACACAGGGAATGTACAGGGTGTTTCAAAAAGAATACGCCAAAATCATCACGTGATGTGTCAAAAACAAAAAAAATTACAAACTTCTAGCATGAACGCATGTGTTGTATATACATCCAAGTTTCATTTCATGTTTTATAAGTGCTCAATGTGGCCACCACCGGCAGCACGGACAACATCAAGCCGATATGAGAATTCCTCCTAAACGCGCCTCAGCATGTCACGGTCCACCGTGTTGATTGCAGCTGTTATTTGATCTTTCAAGTCATCGATACTTGCTGGAAGTGCAGGAACATAAACTTGGTCTTTAACATACCCCCACAAGAAAAAGTCACACACAGTGAGGTCCGGAGATCTGGCAGGCCAAGCACAGAGAGCAAGGTCTTTAGCACCTCTCCTCCTAATCCATCGCTGAGGCACGTTTTCATTCAGATAAGCTCTAACCCTGAGATGCCAATGGGGTAGTGCTTCATCTTGCTAAAAAATGAAGTCATTCGAATCTGCTTGCAGCAAAGTGAATCGCCAGTTTTGGAGCATTTCGAGATAGGTTTGACCTGTTTGTAGCTGCACCGGAAGTTATACTAACGACAGCGGTGAAAGTGACACCCAATCAAACTTTGATAACTACTCCATCAAATATCCACTGATTCAGTCCACTACAATTCTATAGACCTGAAAAAACAGCGTAATGATTTTGGCATATTCTTTTTGAAACACCCTATATATTACAGTGGTAAGAAACTGATTGATGCTAAGATGCCAGCTCAGGTCTGATAACATTGCAGATTCTTCTTTGGACTCTATCAAGGATCTCTAAATATATAGCAGAAGCACCAGACCAGATGAGGCAGCAATATTCAATGAAATGTCGAATGATAGACTTATAAATATGTAAGATAGATTCTGGTTGGAAAAATTGTCTAGCACGACACATTGAACCAACTTTCCTAGCTGCAGACTTAGTTGTCTCATTATGATATTCTCACATCATGTCACGTCATGGAGTGTTCCAGGAATAATTGTTATAGAAGAGGCTTATAAACAAATTCAGACTGCAAATCACCCTTGGAAGAGGAATTGCAGTAAGACCATTCCAACTCTCCAGAAAGTCTTTTTTTATTGTTCCAATAAATATATTTTTACTCATTTCATTATTGTTGGTTTGAAGGGGTTTGGTACCTTTTGGCGTAGCCCATTTGGCATTTGTTACGAGGATGCATTTCTATAATAAGGGATTCTTTTGAGTTCTACTTGTTATTACAAAAAAGTTTTCATTCATGAAGTAGTTGTAAAATAGAGAAATTAGAAATAGAATGTTTGGAAGATTCTAGATCATTCTAGTATATTCGAGAAAAATCTAGATGATTCGAGAAACATCTAGAAATATGCAAATTAGGTGTTAGCCCCTATAAAAATGGGATTATGGAAATTTCTGCTGTTATCAACTCCGGCTTTTGATTCAAGGACTATTATATCCAGCCGAAAGAATCTCTATAAAAAGTTGCCGACAAACCAAAACCCAAAAGAGAATTTCATGGAACAAAGTTGGTAAATAGAATTTTGACTAATTTTCATTGACCAAACTAAAAATTAATATTTATTTACACACCTTTGTGGATTTCCAAATATAGCACTTAGATTACTTCACTAGCCCTAAAGTGATAAAGATATTTGATTCCCTTTCTTTCTCCCTCATAACACTTGCCAGTAACTCTTTGTTTTCTGTTTTGTAGGCCACAATTGTTTATCCTGTATATATTTTATGTTCTGTTTTAGAAAATTAAATATTTGTGATTTAGCTCTGTGTTGTGGTAAACTATTTTTTTTTCCTTTGTTACAATTATCAACATGTAACACATTGATGATTTGGCATGGTTGATTCAGCATCAGAAAAATAATTGGACTATTTGGTACAGCCGTTTAGTTGTTAGATTGTTTCAATGTCAGTTTTTGAAAAGGATAAAAGCATTGAAAAAATCCAACTTTCAATATGACTTTATTCATTTAGAGAATTAAGAATCCTATCAAAACACTAATGGAATAATGTAAATTAAAAACCTAAATTAAAATTATTGTATTTCAAAAAAAATTAAAAGCTATTTAATCTCAGAAATTATTTCTTCATTTTGTAATTATGAGCAACACCCTTCAAGAACTAAATAGGATCTAATAATTCATCTTCCATTATGACTTTTTTTCCTTCCATGTTTTGATAAAAAATTTTCTTCCATTTTGGGCTTTGACAACTGAAAAATATGAAGCTTACTGAAGGAAATATAACGTAAAAATGCCTCCAGCTACACTTTTTCTTAAATTTAAAAATGCCTCCAGCTACTCTTTTTCTTAAATTTAAAAATGCCTCCAACTACTCTTTTTCTTAAATTTAAAAATGCCTCCAGCTACTCTTTTTCTTAAATTTAAAAATGCCTCCAACTACTCTTTTTCTTAAATTTAAAAAATCTCCAAACTTTTTTTTTTTTAAATTTAAAATGCCTCAGCTACTTTTTTCTTAAATTTAAAAATGCCAGCTACTCTTTTTCTTAAATTTAAAATGCCTCCAACTCTTTTTTCTCAAATTTTTAAACTCTTTTTCTTAATTTAAAAATGCCTCCAGCTACTCTTTTTCTTAAATTTAAAAATGCCTCCAACTACTCTTTTTCTTAAATTGGACGAAGTACTAATTTGACTACTGAGAGAGAGTGAGTGAGCAAGAGTGAGCAAATTTGACTATAACGACAAAGTTGTAATCTGATGCCTAATCATCCTCTACCAAAAAATTCCTATGTCGAATTTGCTACACCAAATCAGCAACACCAAAACGGCTATACTGGAACGTCCCATTCCTAGTTTGAAGATGACTTTAAAGCTTTACGATAAGCATTTGTTTGAAGAATTGCCCAATGATGAGTTTCGTGAAACAAATTTCTAAGTTTTGTAATCATTACTGTCTGTCTTTGACAAGTTAAAAATTGCGTAATTTCCAAAATTTTCCAAAATTAGATACATGCATGAGAAAAAGGCTTTTGTATTACAGAGAATTCCTCATCCCAAAATTAGTAAAGTTTCAATGTTTGAAGAGGGGACCTGAAGCAACAGAAATGTGGTTCTACAGAAGGAAGCCCTGGACCAATCATGTGAATAACGACAACGTTTCAGAGAGAATGAAAACAAAAAGAAAACTTATACTTATCAGGAAAAAACAGTTGAGGTTTCTGGGGCATATAATGAGGAAGGAGGGCTTGGAAAATCTGATACTCACAGGACAGATAGCAAGAGGGGCAGGGGAAGGTAATGTATAATGTACTTAATGAACTTGAGTAAATGGATGGTGGAACAGGGCTTAAGAGAAAAAAACAGAAAGATCAAGTTTATTAAGAGCTACAAGGGACAGGAAGTTGTGGAGAGACATTATCGCCTACATTCCAAAGGGACATGACACATAAAGAAAGAACCATCAATGGATACTTTTTTATAGCAAGTTCAGGATCGTACAATTTTGACCTGTTTTTGACCAACTGACAAATTTTGATTCTCACATTTTATTTTATTTTATTTTATTTATTTTGTTTTTAATGTACAATGTGGTCTAAAAATCTTGTTACCCAACTACCAAAAAGTAATGAGAACAATAGAACAAGTAATTCAGTAATATAAAGCACCTGTACTTTCATTGATACTGTTACTCATCTCTTGCAGGCTGCATTCCCTTGTGTGCATCCATAGTTTATATAGACTTCATTTTGAGAAATAGACAAGATTTATTAGCTTCTCAAACAAAGAACATTCTTTTAAATAACCCAGATGGCTGTCAACATGGCTTTTCAGTTTGGCTTGGATTTTTAAGTTTCCAAAATTTAGATAGAAATCAACACAAATACGACAAATAGATTTCTAAGTAAACAAACCCTAGAGTGACTCACGTTGACTGCTGACCTGAGATGGAACAAATACATTGAGTCAATTGCTTTGTCCACCGCAAGGAAAGTTGGCTCTCTGTGCCGCACCAGGAAAATTTTCTCCCCGGAATCGATCCTCCAGATCTACAAATCAACAATTCGCCCTTGCATGGAGTATTGCTGCCATATATGGTCTGGAGCCCCTTCTGTTTGCCTCGGGGTCCTTGATAAGCTCCAGAGGTGGATATGCTATATAATTGGCCCTGTTCTGGCATCTTGTCTACAGTCACTCTCTCACAGATGTGCCGTCGCCTCTCTCTGTCTTTTTTACAAATACTTTCATGGCAATTGCTCCGAGGAGCTGCATTCGTTGGTTCCCAGACTTCATGAATTCAAGCGCCCTATGAAGCTGGCATCTCGCTCTCACCCTTTCACTGTCGAAACTACTGAATGTAGCCATCTCTTCTACTCCAATAGCTTCATATCTCGCACCTCTCACCTGTGGAACTCCCTTCCCTATTCCAGTTTCCCTGAGAGCTATAATCTCCAACTATTCAAATGTAATGTCAATCGACATCTCCAGTTGCCTTGATCTATCCACTACCCTTCTCCTCATCCTTTCTTCTATCACTCCTATCTGATCTTGCTCCAAATCTTCTGTAACCCACTGCGTCCTAGTGGCTTCCCACCTTGCTTGGGGTGAAACGCTTGAAAAAAAAAAAAAATCAATCCTGTGGACTTTTGGCAAGCCTGTTAGTCATGTTGCACCAACTTCCTTGGGGTTGGGCCGAGGGCGTCAGTTATGCAGAATCTTACTTAGTTTAATTTGACTTCAACTCTTCCGAGGCCCTCCTTGTAAGTATTTCATGGATTTAAATGAATATTTTGAAACCTGACTTTTTTCCTGTAGTGAATTACTGCAGAGGGCAAAGGCTGCGTGCATTGTTTGCAGCGCTGGAAGAAAATGGCTTACCTCCAGGGTGAACACAGCTTTGAACATCTTCTTGCATGTAAACTGTCCAAAAAGGAAAAATGGCGGCTTTGCAGGTTACACATTTAAAACAGATAGATCTCAGAGTTGGATACTCTCTCATGAGAGTGTCTTTTCACATATGTAAATTCTGGCGGCCAAAGACGAGATAAAAAAGGGCATAATGAGGTGACAGAGAGACAGTTACTGCTGTATCAGGTAGAAGACGTGTCACGGAGGCTTTGACTAAAAAAAACGGATTGCAGGAATTGTTAACAAGCCATAGAATTTTACACATTTTTTCCTACATTTCCATCAGTCTGTAATCTGATTGACTACTCTCCCATATTTTTCTCCTAATGTCTTTACTAACCACTTACCCTGGACTAGAAGGACTCAATAAGGTCCACTGACCTGTTATACATGTCCCCATGTTTTTTTGTTTTTTTTTCTTTGGTTTATAATTCTTGCGTCTCTTTCAGATAAGAGCCGACCTGCTGGCTGGAGAACAGTCTTGCTGCAAGAAGGGCCTGAAGGTTTTGCCAAGAAGGTCCGTGCACACAAAGGCCTCTTGCTGATGGACACAACGTTCCGAGATGCTCATCAGTCTCTGCTGGCCACCCGCGTGCGAACCAAGGACTTGCTTAACATTTCACCGTTTGTCTCGCACAATTTCAACAATTTGTTCAGTCTGGAATGCTGGGGAGGTAAGTTGTTATTTGAATAAAAACCAAAGTCAAAAATCTGTATCCAAAACTTGCAGCTACCACCTTCACTCTAAGACAATCGGTCAAAGTACCATTCTTTCATCAGGGTAAGAAAGGTTGCATTGGGTCGAAGCTAGTAGCGAAGTGCAATTATTTTACGAATTTCAAGGCTAACTATTGACCCAGTCATTTTTTTTTTCTGATTTTCTTTTTGGACAGCGCAGAACTGCAATTATTTTTTGTGATGAGAATTTCTTTTTTCTTTCGTCGCCACATTGTCAAAACATTTTGGCCATTTAGGCTCTCCATCCTTGATCAGCTGATTGTTGACCTGGGTGACCTTCAGAGTATTTCAATAATAACTGAACCCTTTATTTTACCAGGAGTAGATAAGTTCACTTATCGTCCGGTTCACACTCCTCCCTGGTCTTTTGAACATGAGTAGAGGTTTATCCCTTGTTTCCTGTTTAGAACTGGGTTTCCAGTTCCTTCTAAAGTCTTTTTTATTCACTTTCACTCCTTTTGCATCTTAGTGGTATTATCTCCTTTCTTGGGGTGAATTGATATATTATATATATATATATATATATATATATATATATATACACACACAGACACACACACACACACACACACAGATTGTCCTTGTTCTGTTGAAAAGGTCTTGGGATGTAGCAAATTGTGGATCTCCACAACTTTGTTTAATATCTGCAAACTGTGCATTGCCATAACCTTTCTTGACTCTAGACTGGTTACCAACCAAGGCTAGATAACCATTCCAACCTGCCATGCTATTTAAACAAAAGCTAGGGGAAGAAGAAATCAATTTATCCCCCCCCCAAACACAAGGGCACAGTGAACACAAACTGCCTTAGCTTGAGTTTGAACTCTGCTCGCCAATTTCATTTTCTGCATTATAAACTGTTAGGCTGCCTGCAATTCTCATGATTATATAAAAGACGTTAAAACAAATTCTAAACTATGAATATCACAGTGAATATGTTTCATTTTATTTCCAGGCAGGCTATTGTTTTCATCTTTGTTTTTATTATCTGTGTGAGAAAATAGTAATGGGGGAGGTTCAGACCCTAAATTATCAAAAATCCGGGGTCATAAGTCCGAGTCATAAATGAGTCTTGCAGGTCCAAACCCAGAAATGGAGGTGGGCGTAAATCAAAAGGGGTAAAAAAAAGTCTGTATCCAAAACTCGCAATTACCTTCTTCATACACAAAGAACTAAGACGGCCAGTCATCCGATGTAGGATTCTTTCATGGGGGTAAGGAAGGTCTATAAATAGTCAAGACAGTTAAAGAAGTGTAAATAATTTATCATATTTTGAGGCTGATTAAAGTCGACTTGATTTTTTTCCCCTAACATTGATACAAATGAAAGGGATATTGTAGTGACTTCTATCTTCTTGTCACTGCTAACCTAAAAAGATACAAAATTTAGTAGAGGAATTACAGCTATGTGAAATTGAAAACTCAACAAGTGAACGTGGAAAAATGTGGGTAATGAGAAAAGAATTGTGACTTTACTGTTCTTTCTTGAATTCTCAGTTCTTCTGTAAATTTTAATTTGCCTGAAATTCTGGCCTTAGTCGGTCTTGTCAGTGTCATCTACAGGTCACCCAGCAAAATAGCGGCAAATTTATTATCACTGTTTTATCTTACAAGAATAATTGACCTTGAATAACCTTGAATATACATGACCTTGACTAATCATTTGACTCGTGCAGAATTACTCAACTCTGATTGGTACTTTTATGATTGATTAATCACTGCTCGGTCTTGTGACTTGTCATTTAAACATTATTTGTAGATAACTTTCGTTTTTCATTCTTTTCTTGTGTGGCTAAACAATTTACTTATCGTACTTTTTAAAGAAGAACCTTCGACATGGGGATTGACAAAATGTGCTGAAATTCTTCCTGAATTTTTCAGTCACCTCAGATGTCACACGTTTTCAATGGTTGTCTCCCTTCTTTCTGAATTTACTGCTTTTTTAGTGGGCACCCTGTAGTCTGAATACCAACAAGATGGTTTTATTAGTCATTGGACTGGTAGTTTCAGTCTGAATAAAATGCTGAAAATGGAAAAAACAATTGCAGCTTTTGTAACATTGTGGGTGTACAGTAAATTTTGGTAATTTGAGGTTAAAGATAAAGAGACAATTGTCAATTAAATAGTCATACAGGTTGTTCAAGTAAAGGGTGTTTCATTAAGAGGGATCAGCAGTAATTAAATCAGTGTTATTGGTGAAAATTTATTTCTCTATTGGATCATGTTATTTGAGTTATGGCAAATATGTGTGAAAAATAATATCGCCCAAATGTTCGCCACGGCTTTGGTGGCACACTTCCACTCGATGGTCCAAATTTTTGATGACATCTCTGCATAGTTGCTCCTTGATCTCACCAATATGCCTTATTATCTCATCCTTCAGCTGTTGAATTGTTGTTGGCTTGTTGGCATAGACCTTACTTTTGAGATGACCCCCAAAAGAAAGAAATTTAAAAGCGTCAAGTCGCACAATCGTGGTGGCCAATTGACTTCACTGTTTTGAGAGATGATGTGACCTGGGAACTTCTCATTGCATTTCTGTTTGAACGTCCATTTTCATAATAGGCTTCAATAACTTTAACACATTGTTTGATTGTTAATCTTTCCATGGTTGACATTGCCAAAGACTTGTGAAATCTGAAAGAAAAAGAAAAAAAATCATTAGACGCTTAAACTTAATTCACATTTAAAATCGGTCCAAGTTATTGGAATACTCTTTATATTGTATTTCTGAAGTACAGAATATTTGACAGGGCCAGTTGACAGTTACAATTCCTGTGAAAAAAAAAAATATTAAAAAACAAAAAGGATGTAGAAAAGTCTTTTCATTGGTTGTTGAATTAACTCATCAGGAACAAGCAAGAAAGTTAGATTTCTGCTATAAGAAAAGTAGTTTGAAACTCTAAACTTAATAATACTTGGTATTTTTTTTCTTTTCCAGGTGCCACATTTGATGTTGCCCTCAGGTTTCTCCATGAATGTCCCTGGGACAGGCTTCAAGAACTGCGTAAACTGGTCCCAAACATTCCTTTCCAGATGCTTCTTCGAGGAGCCAATGCTGTTGGTTACACAAACTATCCAGACAATGTCGTCTTCAAGTAAGGTTTTACTTATATATATATATATATGTAATAGCTGGCCACTCATATTCGAGGATACCTGTCTATTAGGGCAGCTAGCCAATCCCTATTGCAGACGCTCGCTCAGGCACTTTTGTTTGTTCATCACCTAAAGAGCCAACCTGTGGTTTATATTGCAGCAATGCTGGGCAGACCTTAGTTACAGCTTCTGGGAGAGAGCGTGTTATCTAGCATGATCAACAATCTGAACAAGGCCAGCACACTCAAATCCTTGATCACGATGACTTGTGACTTTGTGCTAGCACAGCTATCGACGGTCCCCAAAGAGTTCCGTCTACCCAATTTCAATCACAAGCCTTGGGTCAATCCCTGTTGTAGTTTTCAGGCCCTTTCCAAAGGTACCACACACTGGGATCATCCCTTCCAGATTGATAACATCAGGAAGTCTACTTCCTTGCAAATTAATACTTGACCGATGGTTAGAATGTTCGCTTTCTGACCATGAGCCCTGGATTCAAATCTCACCACGGCTGATATATTCATTTTGTTTCTTGTAGTTTGGTACAAATCTGTGTTTCATGCACATGGCAATTGTCAGGCATAGATTAAAAATTGACCATTGTAAAATTTAAATATTAGTATTTACAACCCACTGTTTATATGGTGGTGCAGTCCATTCATTTATGAAATTATATATATATATATATATATATATATATATATATATATATATATATATATATATATATATTCCAAAGGACACATGGCACAGTGGATAAAAGTGTTGGTTAGATCCAGTGACAGGACCCAAAGAGTGTGAGTTCAATACACGGTTAAGGCAGTGGAGAACTTTCAGAGGGAAAATTAACAGGAGATAACTGACATCCATCAAACGTGGAACTAGAACAGTCTACCCCAGTGAGCGAAATAAAGGGTTCAGTTTGACATTCCAACCACCTGAAGAAGGCCGGAGTGTACAACGGCCGAAACGTTGTGATAGATATGGCAAAAAAGATGAGGACAATAGTCCGAATAATGCAAATAATGTACATAATACCTCATCTCAGAAATAGACAGATACTGAAAGGCCGAAATGTTGTAATAAACATGGTGACAAAAATGAGGACAATAGTCCGAATAATGTAAATAGTGTACATAATACCACACCTCAGAAATATAGACAGATACTGAAGGGTCGAAATGTTGTGATAAATATGGGGACAAATGTGAGGACAATAGTCCAAATAATGTAAATAATGTACATAATACCTCATCTCAGGAATATAGACAGACACCAAAACTCAAGCTACCTAGGTCTTGCCTGTTAGGTCTTCTCAGGCAGGTATAATGAAAGATTTTAGTTTCCACTGCCACTATATACGAACACCAGAGGTTAGGGGTGGGGAAAAAGGCAGCGGAGGGAAAAGGTGGAGGAAAAAAAAAAAATTTCATCCAGGTTCGTACATACGCAATAAATATTTACTAAGGTGTTTACATTTGTCGAAACTCCTAAATGTAGCCGTCTCTTCTACTCCAATAGCTTCATGTCTCACACCCCTCGCCTGTGGAACTCCCTTTCCTATTCCAGTTTTCCTGAGAGCTATAATCTCCAACTATTCAAATGTAATGTCAATCGACATCTCCAGTTACCTTGATCTATCCACTATCCTTCTCCTCATCCTTTCTTCTATCACTCCTATCTGATCTTGCTCCAAATCTTCTGTAACCCCTTGCGTCCTAGTGGCTTCTCACATTGCTTGGGGTGAAACACTTAAAAAAAAAAAAAAAATTTGCATAACACCTTTAATCTTTCATTTAACAGTTTGTCCTTGTTTAGGTATGTGGTGATCGTCAATTTTTCTTCCTCGGACTCTGCCCAGCTTTACTTTTCCAATGATTTTCCACTTTATGAAATTTTTTTTTTATTCCTCTGTCTTTTCCCTCATCCACCTTTTTTTCCCCACCGCTAATTTCTGGTGTTTGTATATAATGGTGGTGGAATCAACCAAAATCTTTCATTCTACCTGCCTGAGGATACCTAACAGTCAAAACCTAGGTAGAGTGGTAGCTTGATTTTTGGTGTTCCTGATTACATTTTGCTCTGCAACTGAAATTTTTGAGAATTTTGTATTGAGCACCTTTTTTGATTGCACCTTTTAAGTGTTTACAGCCTCCTTTTAGAAATGTAATATCTTATATTTTATATATATATATATATATATATATATATATATATATATATGACGTCTGTCTAAAAAGTAACGGAGCTGGATCTATTGTGTGAGCTATGAGAGATAGTTAAGTAGATAGGGTTATCATTTCACATATCTTTGGAGTATATAAATGTAATCTTAGCTTTCCACAACGCTAGCATTTTTTTTTTTTTTTACTTGTGAGAGTTGTGGCAGGACAAATTGTGGCTGTTTTACCATGATAATGCACCCCTGCTCACAATGCCCTGAGCATCTGGAAGTTCCTGGCTGTGAAGAACATTACCGTACTGGAAGAATGTCCCTCTTCACCTGATCTTGCTCCATGTCACTTTCTCCTTTTCATCAAGCTCAACATGATCATCAAGGGGGCTTGTTTTGAAGGTCGGGAAAGTGCCATAACAACGGAGCTGAGAATAGATTCCTTCCAGAAGTGCCAAGAAGTGTACGAGAAAAGGATGGAAAAATGCACTAGTGACAACAAAGCCCTTAATCTTGAGAAGTGACAACAAAGCCCTTAATCTTGAGAAGTGACAACAAAGCCCTTAATCTTGAGAAGTGACAACAAAGCCCTTAATCTTGAGAAGTGACAACAAAGACCTTAATCTTGAGAAGTGACAACAAAGACCTTAATCTTGAGAAGTGACAACAAAGACATTAAACACTATTTGTTAGATTGCTTATTTACAATATTATTAAAATATATGAATCAAAACCAATGTTGTATCTATGCTGGTGACAATGATTTGCTCCAGTCACAATTGTAAGTCTGATTAGTTCAATAAGGTCAAATTCATGGCTGATATCAAAAACGGCTTTCATTCTGGGGCAAAGAATGTGTTGTGGAGATGAACACACCTCTCCAGAATATGACTTGGACTCATCCAAATAGCATATATACTGATGCCGAGAATTGTCAGCAGAGGTAGTCAGGAACGAGCCTTATAGCCTTACTACAGAATACAGTAAGACTATATTGACTCCAAGTGACATATTTCATGATTGTGCTATCTTCATTTAATGGAATGAAGATAGAATGTTTTGTTAATTTTAACACCTCCAAAATTAAACTGCTGTCTATTAATCATCTGAGTGACCCCTTTCCGCCTTCCATCGTTAAAAATAATGGAAGGCGGAAAGAGGGTCTCTCAGATGTTTAATAGAGATGGAATAAATATTAAAAAAAATAATGTTGGTTTCTTAGTTTGCCTTCAGGAAAAAAAAATCAGAAGTTATGGCAAGCGAAAGATTCTGCACTGTTGTCAAAATTAGAAAATCTTGCCTTTTTATTTATTTTTGTTAGAAATAAAATAATTATTTTTCTTTCTTGGTTTATTCTTTTAGGTTCTGTGAAATGGCAGTTGCTCATGGCATGGATATATTTAGGGTCTTTGATTCCCTGAATTACGTACCAAATCTTGTTGTTGGAATGGATGCAGTAGGCAATGCAGGTAATCTCTTTAAATTTTTTTTCTTTGCTTTTTCTCTTTCTTTTCTCTTTCTCTTTCACATTTTTACCTTTCTCTTTTTTTTCCCCACCTTTCTCTTTTCTCTTTTTCCCCTTTCTCTTTTTCCCCTTTCTCTTTTTCCCCTTTCTCTTTTTCCCCTTTCTCTTTTTCCCCTTTCTCTTTTTCCCCTTTCTCTTTTTCCCCTTTCTCTTTTTCCCCTTTCTCTTTTTCTCTTTCCCCCTTTGTCTTTTTCTCTTTGTCTTTCCCCCTTTGTCTTTCCCCCTTTGTCTTTCCCCCTTTGTCTTCCCCCCTTTGTCTTTTTCTCTTTGTCTTTCCCCCTTTGTCTTTTTCTCTTTGTCTTTTTCTCTTTGTCTTTCTCCCTTTGTCTTTTTCTCTTTCTCCCTTTGTCTTTTTCTCTTTCTCCCTTTGTCTTTTTCTCTTTCTCCCTTTGTCTTTTTCTCTTTCTCCCTTTGTCTTTTTCTCTTTCTCCCTTTCCCCCTTTGTCTTTCCCTCTTTCGCCCTTTCTCTTTCGCCCTTTCTCTTTCGCCCTTTCTCTTTCGCCCTTTCTCTTTCGCCCTTTCTCTTTCCCCCTTTCTCTTTTTCTCTTTCCCCCTTTCTCTTTTTCTCTTTCTCCCTTTCTCTTTTTCTCTTTCTCCCTTTCTCTTTTTCTCTTTCTCTTTCCCTTTGAGAAATGTTTGTACAAGGATTTGGCTAGAAAGACAGAAGGGAAGATAAAAGTTTTTAATCTCTCCTGTCAGTACCACATAAATAATGGACTATTCTGTTTTAATTGCATAGAAAAAAGACACACATGCTACTTGGTTTCAGTGATAAAATAAATGAAAGACAGAAAAAAAAGACAGACGTGTTTAACATTTCAGTAAAATGGAAAACGTTAATTTCAAATCTTTTCATTTGTACCCCCTTACTTCTTATGATGAAGATCAGCATTCATATTTATGATTGATATTGCAATGTTTTGTTGTTAAGCACAATATTTAATGATGTGATCACGGAATTTCTACACATATTTTATCATTGTAGAACTCACCATGAGCTTATCCAATTATTAACTTAAGAATTAAGATTGATCAAAAAATTCAGATAGGAACATTGAAATTTTCATGGGTATTTCTAGTGATATTTAAAGACCTAACAAATACAACTTGGTGCTGATAAACCGGTGTAGTTAAGGTCCAAAACTACTATCCGTGGTTTAGATGGTCTGTGGTCTAGATCAAAAGTGAGCCGCCATGTCAGGATTGCCAGCTTAGACCACCAAAACAATACTTGTCAAGTTCATGGAGTTATCCACGAAGATGGGTAACACAGTGGCTAAGCATGCAAAATGTAGTATTCAATACTAAAAGTTTAATATTGGCAGTTTTGAAAAACATTTATAAAGACTATCCTTTAATTTCACATAAAAATCTGCACCAATGTGAATAAATTTGAAAGACAATGACCTAGAATGATTCCACTTATAAAGTGCCATGTCAATAGATCCATCATTGATGACAGCAGAAGATGGCGGAAATATCGTACGCAGGAGATTTTAACAAGAAAAAAATAAAATTAAGTTTTTATAGTTTTATTAAGATTTTGAATAAAAACATTACAATACATTGTATTGTAACATATTAATAAAATAATAATATAACAATACAATGTAGTAACATCTAAATACAAGCATAGCTTTCAATGCAATGTAATGATGCAATACAAATTTTACAAAATTAATATGAAACAACACTGTACGAGACATGTTTATATTTTATGATGATGGGTTAATATCTAGGTATAAAAATGTTGTGATCGTTATATCTACAGAGACACTGCAAAACTTTAATTTTTGCCTGTATTTATACAAAAATTTAATGTAAGAGGATTTATGGACTTTTGGAAACTTTTTGAAAGTGTTTAAAATGGTTCTTCTCTGCATATTATATAAATTATTTGGAAAAAGCACATTATCGATATTAAAGCAAATCCTGTTGAGTTAATATGTGAAATTTTTAAGTTAAAATAAAAGTTGTAAGCTGCATATTTCACACTCAAAATGTCTGCGAAGTGCTAATCCAAACCGCTACACAATTTTGAGTGTGAAATGCCAAAGCCTAAACAATAGTAAATGTCTGGGAAAATATGGATGTACTGAATGTATTAAAACTCAATTTAATGAATTTATAAAAATAAAAGATTATACAGAAAAAAATCAGACTTTAAAAAGTGTCACAATCAAGTTTGAATTTGTTTTAAATTGGGATCCACTGATGATTGTGATTCTAATATGAACATTATAAAAAGAAATTTGGTGTTCATTGCGTATGCTCAGCTTAACTGATATCATGGTTTATTGGTGTGCAGCTTAATGGCACTGACCTGTATATATATATATCTATTCTAAATCCTTGTGCATGTTGTGTGTTGCAGGTGGTGTGATTGAAGCTGCTATTTCATACACTGGTGATGTTGCCGACCCTACCAAAACAAAATACGATATGAATTACTACATGAATCTGGCCGATGAATTGGTCAAGGCTGGAACACACATTCTTTCTATCAAAGTAAGGTTTGCTTTCATTTCACTCCGCTCTTGATGCATGAATGAAAATTTCTCCTTATTGAATGTAGGCTTGCTAACGTTTCTTCATCTTATTGTTGGCTTTTATCCTGGATTTTAAGCTTGGATACACTTGGTTTGTTAAAGTAACATCCAATAAAAATAAAGTGGGGCCTTTGGATGAGAAGTTAACTAGCATTCTATATTTGCCTTTCATTGACAATACCTTAAACCAGTTGGAAACAAATCTTATCAGAGAGCATTTTTTCCTAATGATCTTTGACATTTTATTGTTGTTCATTTTCAAGAGTACTTCTCTTAGACATTACAGTTTATTACGATTTGTCTTTGACAACTAAAAAAATTAGAATGAAATAGAAGTAACTTCTGGTAGGTCTTTAACTTGTCTAAAAGAAATATTTTAGAAGAATTTTTAGTAACATGAAATTCTAAAAGTAGATGTGAAATGTATTGTAAATGATTTTACTATTAGGAATGCATTAGAAATAATTTTACTATTAGGAATACATTGGAAGTGATTTTTATTATTAGGAATACATTGGAAGTGATTTTTTATTATTGGAATGCATTGGAAATGATTTTTACTATTAGGAATGCATTGGAAATGATTTTTACTATTAGGAATGCATTGGAAATGATTTTATTTATTAGGAATGCATTGGAAGTGATTTCTATTTATTAGGAATGCATTGGAAGTGATTTCTATTTATTAGGAATGCATTGGAAGTGATTTCTATTTATTAGGAATGCATTGGAAGTGATTTCTATTTATTAGGAATGCATTGGAAGTGATTTCTATTTATTAGGAATGCATTGGAAGTGATTTCTATTTATTAGGAATGCATTGGAAGTGATTTCTATTTATTAGGAATGCATTGGAAGTGATTTCTATTTATTAGGAATGCATTGGAAGTGATTTCTATTTATTAGGAATGCATTGAAGTGATTTCTATTTATTAGGAATGCATTGGAAGTGATTTCTATTTTTAGGAATTATTGAAGTGATTTCTATTTATTGAATGCATTGGAAGTGATTTCTATTTATTAGGAATGCATTGGAAGTGATTTCTATTTATTAGGAATGCATTGAAGTGATTTCTATTTATTAGGAATGCTTGCATTGGAAGTGATTTCTATTTATTAGGAATGCATTGAAGTGATTTCTATTTATTAGAATGCATTGGAAGTGATTTCTATTTATTAGGAATGCATTGGAAGTGATTTCTATTTATTTGCTATTTATTAGGAATGCATTGAAGTGATTTCTATTTATTAGGAATGCATTGAAGTGATTTCTATTTATTAGGAATGCATTGAAGTGATTTCTATTTATTAGGAATGCATTGGATTTATTGATTTCTAGTGATTTTATTTATTAGGAATGCATTGAAGTGATTTCTATTTATTAGGAATGCATTGGAAGTGATTTCTATTTATTAGGAATGCATTGGAAGTGATTTCTATTTATTAGGAATGCATTGAAGTGATTTCTATTTATTAGGAATGCATTGAAGTGATTTCTATTTATTAGGAATTTATTAGGAATGCATTGGAAGTGATTTCTATTTATTAGGAATGCATTGAAGTGATTTCTATTTATTAGGAATGCATTGGAAGTGATTTCTATTTATTAGGAATGCATTGAAGTGATTTCTATTTATTAGGAATGCATTGGAAGTGATTTCTATTTATTAGGAATGCATTGGAAGTGATTTCTATTTATTAGGAATGCATTGGAAGTGATTTTATTTATTAGGAATGCATTGGAAGTGATTTTATTTATTAGGAATGCATTGGAAATGATTTCTATTTATTAGGAATGCATTGGAATTGATTTCTATTTATTAGGAATGCATTTAAGAATGCATTTCTATTTTTATTAGGAATGCATTGGAAGTGATTTCTATTTATTTGCATTGGAAGGAATTTATTAGGAATGCATTGAAGTGATTTCTATTTATTAGGAATGCATTGAAGTGATTTCTATTTATTAGGAATGCATTGGAAGTGATTTTATTTATTAGGAATGCATTGGAAATGATTTCTATTATTAGGAATGCATTGGAAGTGATTTCTATTTATTAGGAATGCATTGGAAGTGATTTTATTTATTAGGAATGCATTGGAAGTGATTTTATTTATTAGGAATGCATTGGAAATGATTTTACTATTTTGGAAGATGTCAGATATGGTTTCATTTATCTTTCATATCACAAAAAATAGCTGTTATTGAACAAGAATTAATACTGCAATTCATACTGGATAAAACTGTTCTATTTTTTCATATTGCCTAAAAGAAATTGATTGGAAAACATTTTCTTTGTTATTGCCAGGATATGGCTGGCCTTCTCCGTCCAAAGGCAGCTACAATGCTGATTGGCAATCTGCGTGACAAGTACCCAGACTTACCTATCCATGTACATACCCATGACACATCAGGCGCTGGTGTCGCATCTATGTTGGCTTGTGCAGAAGCTGGGGCTGATGTTGTTGATGTTGCTGTTGATTCCATGTCGGGGATGACTTCTCAACCAAGCATGGGTGCTGTTGTGGCCTCCTGGAACGAACACCTCTCCAAACAGGTAACTGTCCACCTTCACTAATGATATGGAATTAATGGGGCCCCTTTGTCAGAAGGGGGAGATATACAGGTAAACTTTTCTTTATGTGACTTCGGTCTATGCAATTTTGAAAACGGTTACCGTTTCTGATTTTACTTGTGACCATTTTCTACTTTATTTTGCGATCTGTCTGGGAGTTGATTTGTGGCATACATGAAATGAAATCGCATGTTTAAACACCCCCCTCCTCTTGGTCAAGATATCAATGCTGACCGCTGTCAGGATCACAGTCGTTGTTTAACTCCATGTTCCTCTTATTATCTGCATTGTGTATACTTCACCAGGGCTACATACAGGTTTTGAATTAGGAGTTGTCCTTCTCCTAGACTGACTGCCAAACAAATCTGTAGAGTGTAGTTTTCCTTACTATTTAACCCATAGAGAGGGGGGTGAAATGGATTTATACGTCTCCCAAGGTCATGTGCGGATAAGTGAATGTAATGAATGTGACAGGAATTCAAGCTCTGCTCTCTGATTTTGTTCATTTCGAGCTGCTATCCATTACACCATAAGCAACCCCCCCCCCAAAAAAAAATTAAGGATGTGCAGATGTTGTAATGGGTAGTGGCTTGGCAAATTGCAGTTGAGTTATTTACATGCTATACTCTTGAGAAAGTTATAAATCTCTCTTCCTCCCCAGCTATGGGTTAAATAATAGAACAGACCGGGCTCTTCAGCCTCGTTTGTCAGCTGTTTCAGAAGGACAACTCTGAATTCTAAACTGTAATGAAAGAGAAACTCGCCTACCTCGTAAAAGTGTTTTGTGCGTGGTCTGCCGAAGGGGAATTAAAGGAAATAGTCATCAAAAACCTGCCGCTTATCGGGAGAACTGTGCTAATGTTCTTTTCTCCCTGGATGGCATGACCAATCAGAAAAAATCGCTTGGTGAATAAAGGCCGTTGCTTTTGCTTACCGAGGACGGAAGGATTTTTAGGCTTGGTGTGCGTAAGTGCGTTTCTGCTGTTGCGAAGGGAAGGTTGGTATAGCGGATGTGCATTGTGCTGTAATGGATATCAGCTCAGAAGGAGAAATCAAAGAGCCAATTTCGAATTTTAGTTGGGTTCATTACATTCACTTACATGCAAATACTCTTCTCCTTCTGGCTATGAGTTGAATAGCAGGACAGACTGGGACCTATAGCCTTGGTTGGCAGCCAGTCTACTGCAGAAAAAACAGCAACCCATTACAGGAAAATCTTCTGCCTGATCAGTCATAAATCAAGAGACATGATCGCCCATGTGTATATCGCATATAGCACTTAACTGACTGATTAAAATGACTAAGGGTAGTAACCACTCATAAATTTACTACCTTTAAGTTGATTTAGCTCCCTTGCCACTATAGTGGGTGACACAAAAGATATAAATACACAACGGCAATTATTATATAGTGTTGATTGTTGTTAAAATCATGCAGTTCTTTTTTTTTTGTCATTCTCTGATATATTGATTTGTTCATGTTACTACTGTTTAACTGTTTTTTTTGTTTTTATCATATTTGCAACAGCCCCCTCCTTCTCTTTTTATGATTTTTTTTTCGACATTTCTTTGATTAATTTGTCCTTTGAATCCATTCCCTATGACAGAATTTATATTTATTTATTTTTTGCCTGTAGAAATTGACCTGGATACTGTATCAAAATATTCTGCCTATTGGGAACAGACCCGGAATTTGTACAGTCCATTTGAGTGTTGCGTGACAATGAAAAGTGGTAATGCTGACATCTATAAAAATGAGATTCCAGGTAAGAAACTTGTCCACAAAACTTTGAATTTAAAATAATTCACTTGTTGATAGAAATGTTTCTCGGTGTGCCATCTTCTTATTAAATTATGGCTGATTATATTGTTGAGTAATTGACTATGGTTAAATGCAATTGGCAGGAATGCCCAACAAACATTTTTCTCTTTCTTTTTTTTTCTCTTTCTTTTTTTTCTCTTTCTTTTTTTTCTCTTTCTTTTTTTTCTCTTTCTTTTTTTTCTTTCCTTTTTTCTCTTTCCTTTTTTCTCTTTCCTTTTTTCTCTTTCCTTTTTTCTCTCTTTCCTTTTTTCTCTCTTTCCTTTTTTCTCTCTTTCCTTTTTTCTCTCTTTCCTTTTTCTCTTTCCTTTTTTTCTCTTTCCTTTTTTCTCTTTCCTTTTTTCTCTTTCCTTTTTTCTCTTTTCTTTTTCTCTCTTTTTTTTTTTTCTCTTTCCTTTTTCTTTCTTTCTTTCTTTTTTCTTTCTTTTTTCTTTCTTTTTTCTTTTTTCTTTCTTTTTTCTTTCTTTTTTCTTTTTTCTTTTTCTTTTTTCTTTCTTTTTTCTTTTTCTTTCTTTTTTCTTTTTTCTTTTCTTTTTCTCTTTCTTTTTTTCTCTTTCTCTTTCTTTTTTTCTCTTTCTTTTCTCTCTCTATCTCTCATCAGATTTAAAAACCAACTCAATTCTTGTCAATTTTTGCCTGAAATGAAAATTCTTCATTTCAGGTGGTCAATACACAAATCTCCAGTTTCAAGCCTTCAGCCTTGGACTCGCGGACCAATTTGAACGTGTAAAACAGATGTATGTCGTGGCCAACAAGTTACTTGGTGATTTACCAAAGGTATTTTTTTTTTGCTTCTTCTTTTCTCCTCTCCTTCTGTGCTATATATTTTTGTTGTTGCCGCTCTTGGAAGTCTTGTCTGTTTTTTTTTCTTTTTATTATGTATAGTGGCATTCCGAAGGATTGTATTCTTTAAGACTTAATGGATTCATTGAAATCATTAATCATTGATCTGAGAAAACTGTTCTAGATGAGAATTTAGACCTTTCTCAAAGAGTTCGATGCCAAGCAAGACATCCATATGAAAGTCTAGATCTGACGAGGCTGTTTAAGAACATGACTTAAATTCCTAGGTTAATATTTTAATGCAACATCAGTCGTCATCTTCTGTCCTTTTAAAATCCTGTTCTTTTATTGTCCTTTCTATTCAATAACAGTTTTCTCAGTTTCTTTAATTTTCAGTACCCCTCCCCCCCGTATCTTAGTGACTTTATTGCCTTGCTTTGGGTGAAATGATAAAAAAAAAATACTACTACTATTCGTACAACTGATATTATTACTACTACGGCTGCATGGAAACACTAGTTCCTCTATGATCACTGAAGTTAAGCAACGTCGAGCTCAGTCAGTACCTAGATGAGTAACTGCTTGAGAAGCTTGGATGTGTGGTTGGTGTAATGGATACTGACTCGTAATTGTTAATCAAAGAGCCGAGTTCCAATTCCAGTTGGGTTCATTATATTCACTTACACGCAAATACCCTTGGGAAAGGTATGAATACACCTTTCTCTCCCCCATCTATGGGTTAATTAGTAAGACTTGTATTACTAAATCATTATCTCTAAAAAAATTTTCTGACTTTAAATACCCTGCTTGATAAGCCAAAGAAAACGAATCAATCAATGAAATACTGACACAGACATGTCCTTTATACATATTTACATTCTCTGGAATATAGATGTATAAAAAAAAAAAAATACTGAGGGCACAAAGTGAGGTATCAGTTTCTCTGTTGTCATATAAAATTGATCCCCCAATTATATCCACATTATAATTTCATGTTTGCTTATCAGATTCTGAGTAGGTTTGAATCCAGCTCTTCTTCCCCCCATCTATGGGTTAATTAGTAAAATTTGTATGACTAAACCATTAGTATCCCCCACCCCGAAAAAAATTTCTTAGAATCTAAAAATATTTTCTGGCTTTAAATAATCTGCAATGGGGTGATAAGTCATAAAAAACAAATCAATCAATCAAACGATACGACTACTACTGCTGCTATGATTATTACTACTTCTACCATGGGAGAAACAGTGCAACAGAAATAATAGAAAATGAAGTCAACATTGATAATTTGAATAAACTTTGCTTAATTTTATTATTTTTTAGTAATTTTTTTTTTTTTTTTAGGTGACCCCTTCGTCAAAGGTTGTGGGTGACATGGCACAGTTCATGGTGCAGAACAAATTAAATGCGAAAGATGTTGAGGAGCGAGCAGAAGAACTCTCCTTCCCTGTTTCTGTAGTAGAATATTTCCAAGGATTGCTTGGTGAGCCACCAGGTGGATATCCTGAACCCCTAAGGACCAAGGTAAGACTTTATTTATTTTGTTTGAGGTTGTTTTGTTTTTTTTGTTTTTTTGCAGTAAGGTTTATCCTGTACAAGGCCTGGGGATGAGAGCACTCTATGTAGTGGGTTACATTAAGAGTCAATTTATACAAATAGGAAGGGAAGATAATGGTTAACTCTAGACTTGAACAGGTTAATATTGTAGAATTCGAGGAAACATCCTCTTGGGAGTGGGTTCCAGAGAGCAGTAGTTCATGGGAAGAAGCTGTTTGAGTGGAATTTTCACACCAGTGCAACATGAAGGGAATGTGCGTAGTTTGCTACAATGTGAGTAGCGTGGCAGGTGCTAACCATGAAGTTTAGAACTGGCGGAACCAAGGAATATTGTTCATCTGAGCACTTTCCATGGAAGCAGTGATAGAGCAGCAAGAGACTTGCCCCATCTCGCTTGCAAGAGCGAGGTTGGAGGATGGGAAATAATTTGACACCTGCCAAGACTTAGACATGATTTTGAACTCTATTGAGACTAGAAAGTCAGGACTGGGCAGCTTTTGCCCATATATGGCAGCAGTACTCCATTTTCAGTCTGACCTGGCTCTTGTAAAGACAGAGGATAGCGGAGATGCTTTTAGGCTCTATAGATACTGGAAAGTATTGAGTAGGCAACTCTAGCCTATATATGACAACAGTACTCCATTTTCAGCCTGATCTGGCCTTTTGTAAAGGCAGAGGATATCAGAGACGCTTTTGGGCTCTATTGAGACTGGAAAGTAAAGACTGGACAGCTGCTGCCCATATATGGCAGTAGTACTCCATTTTCAGCCTGATCTGGCCTTTTGTAAAGGCAGAGGATATCAGAGACGCTTTTGGGCTCTATTGAGACTGGAAAGTGGCAGCAGTAAAGTAAAACTGGACAGCTGCTTTTGCCCATATATGGACAGCAGTACTCCACTTTTCAGCCTGATCTGGCCTTTTGTAAAGGCAGAGGATATCAGAGATGATAACTTTTGGGCTCTATTGAGACTGGAAAGTAAAGACTGGACAGCTCCTGCCCATATTTGGCAGCAGTACTCCATTTTCAGCCTGATCTGGCCTTTTGTAAAGGCAGAGGATATCAGAGACGGATTTTTTGGGCTCTATTGAGACTGGAAAAAGTAAAAAAAGACTGGACAGGATATCAGTACTCCATTTTCAGCCTGATCTGGCCTTTTGTAAAGGCAGAGGATATCAGAGACGCTTTTGGGCTCTATTGAGACTGGAAAGTAAAGACTGGACAGCTGCTGCCCATATATGGCAGCAGTACTCCATTTTCAGCCTGATCTGGCCTTTTGTAAAGGCAGAGGATATCAGAGACGCTTTTGGGCTCTATTGAGACTGGAGACTGGACAGCTGCTGCCCATATGTAGCAGTAGTACTCCAAGCCTGATCTGGCCTTTTGTAAGGCAGAGGGACGCTTTTGGGCTCAGACTGGACAGCCTGCCCATATATGGCAGCAGTACTCCATTTTCAGCCTGATCTGGCCTTTTGTAAAGGCAGAGGATATCAGAGATGCTTTTGGGCTCTATTGAGACTGGAAAGTAAAGACTGGACAGCTGCTGCCCATATATGGCAGCAGCCCATTCAGCCTGATCTGGCCTTTTAAAAGGCAGAGGATATCAGAGACGGTTTTGGGCTCTATTGAGACTGGAAAGTAAAGACTGGACAGCTGCTGCCCATATATGGCAGCAGTACCATTTTCAGCCTGATCTGGCCTTTTGTAAAGGCAGAGGATATCAGAGACGCTTTTGGGCTCTATTGAGACTGGAAAGTAAAGACTGGACAGCTGCTGCCCATATCAGCAGTGGTAGAGCAGAGGATATCATTTTCAGCTCTATTGATCTGGACCTTTTGTAAAGGCAGAGGATATCAGAGACGCTTTTGGGCTCTATTGAGACTGGAAATAAAAACTGGACAGCTCCTGCCCATATATGGCAGCAGTACTCCATTTTCAGCCTGATCTGGCTTTTTTGTAAAGGCAGGATATCAGAGACGCTTTTGGGCTCTATTGAGACTGAGACTGGAAAGCAAATTTTCAGCCTGATCTGGCCTTTTGACAGGCAGAGGATCCTGGGCCCATTGAGACTAAAGCAAGATTAGCCCACTCCATTTTAAAGCAGAGGATATCAGAGGCTTTTGGGCTCTTTGAGACTGGAAAGTAAAACTGGACAGCTCCTGCCCATATATCAGAGATCCATTTTCAGCCTGATTGGCCTTTGTAAAGGCAGAGGATATCTGGAATGCTTTTGGGCTGGACAGACTGAAAGTAAAGCCTGGACATGCTGCCCATATAGCAGCACTCCATTCAGCCTGATCTGGCCTTTTGTAAAAGGCAGAGGATATCAGAGACGCTTTTGGGCTCTATTGAGACTGGAAAGTAAAGACTGGACAGCTGCTGCCCATATATGGCAGCAGTACTCCATTTTCAGCCTGATCTGGCCTTTTGTAAAGGCAGAGGATATCAGAGACGCTTTTGGGCTCTATTGAGACTGGAAAGTAAAGACTGGACAGCTGCTGCCCATCCATCAGTCTGGATCTGGCCTTTTGTAAAGGCAGAGGCAGCAGTGAGACTAAAAAGACTGGACATTATTCAGTACTCCATTTTGATCTGTCCTTTTTGTAAAGGCAGAGGATATCAGAGACGCTTTTGGGCTCTATTGAGACTGGAAAGTAAAGACTGGACAGCTGCTGCCCATATATGGCAGCAGTACTCCATTTTCAGGCCTGATCTGGCCTTTTGGAGGCAGGATATCTGCTTTTGGGCCTATTGAGACTGGAAAATATGGACATGGCCCAGCAGTACTCCATTTTCAGCTTGATCTGGCCTTTTTTGATAAACGGCTCTATTGAGACTGGATATAAAGACTGGACAGCTGCTTTGGCAGCAGTCTCCATTGAGACTTTTTTAAAAGGATATCAAGACGCTTTTGGGCTCTATTGGACAGCTGGACAGCTGCTGCCCATATATGGCAGCAGTACTCCATTTTCAGCTTGATCTGGCCTTTTGTAAAGGCAGAGGATATCAGAGACGCTTTTGGGCTCTATTGAGACTGGAAAGTAAAGACTGGACAGCTCCTGCCATATATGGCAGCAGTACTCCATTTTTCAGCTTGATCTCCTTTTTTAAAGGCAGAGGATATCAGAGATCTTTTGGGCTCTATTTTGGAAAGTAAAGACTGGACAGCTCCTGCCCATATATGGCAGCAGTGCTCCATTTTCAGCCTGATCTGGCCTTTTTGTTATCAGAGACGCTTTTGGCTCTATTGAGACTGGAAAGTAAAGACTGGACAGCTCCTGCCCATATATGGCAGTAGTACTCCATTTTCAGCCTGATCTGGCCTTTTGTAAAGGCAGAGGATATCAGAGACGCTTTTGGGCTCTATTGAGACTGGAAAGTAAAGACTGGACAGCTCCTGCCCATATATGGCAGTAGTACTCCATTTTCAGCCTGATCTGGCCTTTTGTAAAGGCAGGGGATATCAGAGACGCTTTTGGGCTCTATTGAGACTGGAAAGTGTTGATTAGGCAACTCTCGCCTATATATGACAACAGTACTGCATTTTTGGCCAGATATGGTTTATGTAAAGTAGGGGATAGCATGAGTCTCGTACTTACTGGAGCATTGCAGGGAGCTGACCATTTTACTTTCATCTTTATCAATCAATCATATGTACACATTCCTCTTGAGGTTGGGTGTGAGTTTAAGACCAAATAGTCTCTCAAGACATGGTACTTCCTTGAGGGGATATCCGTTCATTGTGATTGGTGATAATAGAGTGACTAATCATGCAAATTTTCTCTTTATGCATATTCCTGTAATGACTGATAAAGGACTGTCAATGAATTAAGGTGCTCAGAAAGTAATTACATTTTACCTGAAAGGATATAAACTCAAGTTAAATTAATATTGGGTTGGAGAATAAGTTTGAGCATTTTTTTAAAAATATTTTATTGTTATGGTCTGACAATGTTAAATTGCATAAAATTAGTCAACAATATAATCTCCGTTGCTGTTGATAACATTTTCCCATTGGTCACAAAGTTTTTCTCTTCCTTGATGATAAAAATCTCCTGGTATTGAGCTGAAAAATTTGTCCAATCAAACCCTCAATTCAACATCAGTATTGAACGTTATACCACGTAAGACAATGAAAAGAGATTGAAAAAAGATAAAATTCTGATGGTGCCAAGTCTGGTGAGTACAGAGGATGAGGGTACACTTCCCATCTAAATTCTTGAATAACGGTTTTTGTCATATTGGCGATGTGAGGACGGGCATTGTTGTGTTGAAGAACGACACTCTGTTGCTGATTTGGTCTTTTTTACTGAATTGCTTCATGAAAATGGTGCAGTTTTTTAATGTAGAGCTTTTGGTTTAAGCAATTCATAATGAATTTGTTGTGAGACCATAACATACCTGCAACATGGACGCTTCCAGGACTATATAAAGTATGCGATATAACACTTTAAGTGGAGCTTACTATGTGCTAGTGTCCAATATTGGTAGTCGTACGCAGCTAATACTACGGTATTAGAAAGAGAGAGAGAGTATTCTAATACCGTAGTATCAGCCGTGTATGACTACCAATATTGGACACTAGCACATAGTAAGCTCCACTTACACTATCTTTGTAACCTTTTTGTTTAATATATCTTTCTTACCTCTAATCCGTGTTTTCCTTCCGTGGTCCCAACTTTGGGCCCACATCAGAATTATACCTTCCCAGTCTACCATGCACACAACATGGTCTTTCGAGGATGGAAGTCTTGTTTTGCTTGAGGTGTCACTTGCTTATTAGGATTGAGCCATTCTTTAAAATGCTTCATATTGACGGAAAGACACCATTTTTCATTGCCAGTGACAATATGATAAAGGAAACGCTGTTAATGACCGTATGCTGAGTGATGCCAAAACCAGCAAACTGGCTGCAGTCATGCGCCGATTCTTGTTGTGGTCATTCGGCGCATGTAGCACCCATGAACCAAGTTTATAAAATTTCCCCATTGAAGGTGATTCACCACAGATTTGTGATTGCAATTCATCTATTCTGCCAATTCTCTGGTCAGCTGATGTGGATTTTCATGAAGAAACTGGTTTGATTGCTCCTCGTCAAACTCATCTGGTCGACTGGCACCTTATCCTCCAGCTCAAAACATCCCCTTTTTCTTTTTTTTTTTTTTTTTTTTTTTTTTTGAAGCACGTAAACCAACATTGGGCAGTACCATTGAGGCATCGTGCCATTTCCATACACGTCACAAACCTTATGAGCTGCTTTGACAGTGTTAATTCCTCTATTATATGCAAAACACAAAAGGTGTTGGAAATGAATAGTTCTGTTTACTTGATATTCCATTTTAGGGTCCTGAAATACAACCAAAATTAATTAAATTAACGAAAAGCATACATATATGTAAATGTTAGAACAACAATAAGAAACTGTTGTTCTAAAACATCTGTCAGATATTTGGCTTCCCAAAGATATTTTACTTTCAAATAAACACCCACGACTTATTCCGCAATTGTTGTAGCATATACCTACAGACAATAATGGCTATGTCCCCATTCACATAAATAGAGTAGTAAATACTGTATGTTGGTCTGCAGTTGGAGATTTATTGTGGAATTCACTTGACTCACTTCTAGCATTTGACTACTACTTCTGCATGCAGTTGTCAAATCTTAAATGTATTGTTCTTGTCCTAAGTATTATCATTCATTACCAACCTTTGTGTGATTATTCTATTCAGTAACCTTTCCTAGGTTACAACACCAACCCAATACAAATGAAAGTTGTCCTGAATGGCCACTCCTCTAAATCTTTTTGTATTGATGGTAGAGTCCTCCAGGGCTCTAGCCTTGAATCTACTTTGTCCTTAATTTTCATCAGTGACCTTTCTGATTGCATCAGTTCTCAACACAGTGTCTATGCTGATGACACAACTATTTACACCTGTTTCAATAGTATTAGGTGTAACAGCAAAATTGTTCAAATTGTGTAACAGCATGAGATAATTGTCCATCCCTGAAAATGTTTAATATTTAAAAAAAAAACGCTAAACTAATTGAGTCTCTTTTCTACAGATTTTCAGTTGACGTTTAGCCATCTTGATACCATTTGTTGTAAGAATAACCAAAAAACCCTTCTAGTTATGCAGCTAAAAAGAGAACAGGTTAAAATCCTTTTGTGTCATCCCCACTATATCTTCCCAACTGAGCAATGGTGAGAGGAAAAAGATCATTCAGGCCTTCAGTAATGGTACCAACATTCATAGTTTGGCTTCCATCTTCAAGGTCCATTCACGAACCATCAAGAGAACAGTGGATAAGTTTAAAAAGGAGGGAGCGGGAAAGCTGAATCCTGAGGTCACAACAGGAAGAGGAATCTTCGTTTCAACTTAGAGCTAAATACATTCTTATTGTTCGAAGTAGAAAGACCTTGGAGAATTCCAGTAAGATATCTTTAATCATTTCTAAGATACAAAAGATTAAAGCTTAATCTAACAATTGGACAATTTTGCTGTTACACTTGGTAAGTCTAATCGGTTTGATAAAGTCAAATTGGTAGGCGACTTAAAAAAAGAAAAAAATGGCCTATAGTCTGCTGTTACCTGGATTCAAGGAATGACTTGCTAATTTTAGCACCTCTGCAATGAAACTTCTCTCTATTAATCATGGCTGATGCTGACCTCCAGGAGAGTGAGTCATCGTGTCTTCTGAGGCTAACATTCTCTGCTGACATGGCATGGAAAGATTATATTGAATCACTTGATAGGTCTACTGCTAGGAAAGTTGGTTCACTGTGTCATGCTAGACAGTTTTTCTCTCCAGAATCTATCGTGCATATTTATAAGACCATTTGTGAATGTTTTGAATATTTCTGCCATTTATGGTCCAGTGCTCTTGCTATATACTTAGAGATACTTGATAAAATCCAAAAAAAGAATCAGCAATATTACTAGTCCTGACCTAGCATCTCTGCTTCAGTCACTTTCCCACTGCTGTAATATAGCTTCCCTGTGCCTTTTTATAAATACTTTCGGTGCTAATTGTTCTGGTGAAATTTCTGCTGTAGTACCTGAACTTTATGAATTTGAATGCAGTACTGGATTGGCGATAAGGTCCCTTCAATTTACAGTTGAATTGGTTAGATGCTAAAAGTTTCTTCTCTGGCATTTCTCACTTATGTACCTCCCTTTCGGCTTCCATGCGTTCCAGCCAACTTTGATCTTCAAAAATTTAAATGTAATATCAATTGTCATCTATTGTCTTCTTGATTCCTCTTCGTTTATTGTTCTCACTCTGTATAATGGTTTTCTTTTTGTTATTTTTCACACTGAGTCACCCCTTGTGTCTTAGTGGCTTTATTGCCTTACTTGGAATGTAATGAGTAAAAAAAAAAAAAAAAAAAAAAAAAAAAGTTCTTTATTCTGTACATTACTTCAGTTTGCATACCGTAAATATGGGCTTATGACCGAGTGATTATTAGAACGTTTGCTTTTAAATCATGAGCCCCGGGTTTGAATCTCGCCATGGTCGATTTGTCAGGAAGATCTCGGTGTGTGACACCTTTGGAAAGTGCCTGAAATCCAGCCCACGTATTGACCCAAGCCTTGTGCATGAAACTGGGTAGACAGAATTATCTGGGAGCTGTCGATGGTTGTGCTAACCTGAAGTCACAAGTCATCGTGACTAAGGGTTTGAACATATTGGCCTTGGTCAGCACTCTTGAACCTGCCAGATAATGTACTCCCTCCCAGAAACTGTAACTAAGTACCGCTCAGTGTAGATGCAGTATAAACCACAGGTGGGCTCTGTGGGTGTTGAACAAACACAAATGCGTCTGAGCTGGTGTCTGTAATAGGGATTGGCTCGCCATTCTAGCTGACAGGCGGCCAGACATACCATATATAGAGTACAAGTAAAATTTTATTTATTTTTCATTTATATTTATTTTTCATTTATATTTATTTTTAAAGGCTTACTGCCATATAGCGTTAAAATACTGGTTCCTGTACAATTACTGAAGTTAAGCAATGTTGTGCCTGGTCAATTCTTTGTTGGGTGACAGTGTGAGAATAATAGGTACTGTAAGCTTGGATGGTTCAGAATTGTTAATCGGAGAGCAGAGTTCCAATTCTGGTCAGATTCGTTATATTTAGTTACATGTAAATACCCTTGGGAAAGGTATGAATCCACTTCTGTTCTCCCCAGCTATGGGTTAAATATCACTTGTATCACTAAACCACTATTATCTTAAAAAAAAAAAAATTCTTAAAATCTAAAAATGTATTCTGGCTTTAAACAACCTGCAAAGGGTTGATAAGCCGTAAAAAAAAAAATGAATCAATCAATTAAATACTGATTAGTTGCACAGGCATGTCTTTTAGATTTATTTATATTCTCTGGAATATAAATGTATAGTATCTTCCATGACCAAAAAGTGAGGGATCAGTTTGTATATTGATTTTAATATAGAATTGATCCCCCACTTTATATAAACATAATTTCTTTTTGTTTATCAAGTTCTAATTGATATGTATATACCTCTTGTAAACGTTTTAGCAGGGACATTTTTTTTTTATTTTTATTTTTTTTTTTTTTTTTTTTTTTTTTTTTTTTTTTGCTTCTTCCAGATTCTGAAAGGAATTCCCAAGATAAATGGCCGTCCTGGTGCCACAATGGAACCATTTGATTTTGATAAACTCCGGGAAGAACTGAAAGAGAAATTTGGTTCCAATATTCATGAAGCTGATATCATGAGTGCTGCTCTCTATCCCAAAGTGCTCACAGATTACCTGGAGTTCCGTGCAAAATATGGACCAGTTGAGTGCCTAGCAACTAAGTTATTCTTTGTTGGACCAAGAATGGCTCAAGAATGTGAGGTTCGTCTTTGACATTTTCACTCTTATTATTATTATTATTATTATTATTATTTATTTCTAATTTAAAAAAAATTTTTTTTTTTTGCTTTTTATAGTTTTTCTTTTTTAATACTTTTTTTGCTTTTTAATGTTCATTTTTTGGCTTAATGTTTGTTTTTTGCTTGTTAATGTGTTTTGCATTTTAATGTGTGTTTTTGGCTTTTTAATGTTTTTTTTTTTTTATTTATTTAATTTTTTTTGGGTGGGGGGCTTTGTAATTTTTTTTTTTTTTTCTTTTTGGCTTTTTTTTGCTTTCTTTTGGCTTTTTAATGTTTTTTTTCTCTTTTAATGTTTTTTTTGCTTTTTTTAATGTTTTTTTTTTTTTTTTTTTTAATTTTTTTTTGGGTGGGGTGGGTTTAATGTGTATTTTTGGCGGGGGGGCTTTTTAATTGTTTTTCTACTGTGGATGAATATGTCTATAGGCAGTAGGCAAGCTATATATATATATATAATATAATTTTTTTTTTTTTTTTTTTCAAGACATTGAAATGTCAATTCCTAGTATTTGTGTTATAAGCTAACTCTAAGCTAAATATTTTAATAGTCGATTTTTGATTTCTAATGTTTTTGTGTTTTTGCTTTTTAATATTTTTAAAAATTTTGTATCTAACTTTTTTCCAATTTTGTTTTTCTTGTCTGAATATGTCTATAAAAATTCAGATCGCCTGCTGTATATATATATATATATATATATATATATATATACACACATTTTCAAGACCTTGAAATGTCAATTCTTAGTGTTTGTGTTATAAGTTAACTCTAAGCTAAAATATTGATTCACCTTTGTATAATAATGATAGAGAAAGTGATGTGCAACAAAATTAACCTTATTTTGTTTGTTGTAGGTGGAGATTGAGAGAGGAAAGACACTGCACATCAAAACTTTGGCAGTTGGTGATATTGGTGATGACGGACGAAGAGAAGTCTTCTTCGAACTTAATGGACAGTTACGTTCTGTGAGAATAATGGATGAGAAAGCAATGAAGGTTAGTTCCAATTTGTCAGCAGAGAAATGCGGTATCTTTGTGCTGCTGGAATTACCGATTCTTACCAATATGTAAAGAAAAAAAAACTTCATTTTTTTTTTTTCTGTAAATGTCAACTTGGGTTCTTGTATAAATTTTCAATCCTACCTTTTTATTTTGTAGAAAGATATCTTTTTTTAGAAATGTTCTTGCAACTAAAGTACCCAGCCAACCAGGTTAAGGCTCCTTGGTACCCAGCCGACTGGCTTAATGTTCTTGGTAAACAGTCAAGACTGGTCTAAGCTTTCTAGATACCCAACTGACTGGCCTGATCTTTCTAGCTGCCTAACTGACCAGCTTAATTTTCCTTGGTACCCAGTCAACTGGCCTCACGTTTTTGGTACACAGCCAAGCTGCCAAGTCTTCCTTGGTAGCCGGCCGACCAACTTAAACTTCCTTGGTAGCCGTCTGGTTGGCCTAATGCACTTTGGTAGCCGGTCGGTCGACATAATGCACTTTGGTAGCCGGTCGGTCGACCTAATGCACTTTGGTAGCTGGCCTTTGTAGCCGGCCGGTCGACATAATGCTCCTTTGTAGCCGGCCGGTCGACATAATGCTCCTTTGTAGCCGGCCGGTCGGCCTAATGCTCCTTTGTAGCCGGCCGGTCGGCCTAATGCTCCTTGGTAGCCGGCCGGTCGGCCTAATGCTCCTTGGTAGCCGGCCGATCAGTCTATTGCTCCTTTGTAGCCGGACGGTCGGCCTAATGCACTTTGGCAGCCGGACGGTCGGCCTAATGCACTTTGGCAGCCGGCCGGTCGACCCTAATGCACTTTGGTATCTACCCAACTGGCTTAATTCTTCCTAGGTACCCTGATGACTGACCTAATCCTCTATGGTACCCAGCTTACTGAGTTGGTCAGGCAGTAGGCTTCCTGCTATCAGTAAGGTTGTTTTTGAAACTGCTCAGCAGTCATTACATTGACTAACAAATTTGAAGAACCTGCTACCAAAATCCTCAAAGTTTTGTTAAATTTTGAGTTAACATTCTTCTGGGCAAACATGGGTGCTTGACACATGTTTCAAGGCCAGCTGAAAATTGTTCCCAAACTAGTATTCAGGACAACCAATAACTAACAGAATGCCAGAAGATGTGGAAAATGTCACATTGTTTCGGCTGTTGTGTCCATCATCAGTTGCTTGTTGATTTAGCTGACTTGCATTGAATTTTGAACTGAACCCTTTATTTAATCTACAGGCATAGATTGTTCTCATTCCACTAATCATGTCCAGGGATATCTCATTCAGTTCCAATTTAGTATTGCTCAGTATTTGCCAAAATAGTGTTTACACAGAGTTCAAGTATACACCGCCCGGTTCAGGTATTGAACTCCTAATTACGTGAAAATTGCCTCGTGGATTAAAGTATCTGTTTGTGAGTTTAGTTTAGAAAGTTGTTTCACTGTGCTGAGTGAGACACCTTTTCTCTCTGAAATCTATCTTGCACATCTATAAGTCTACCATTTGTCCGTGTTTGGAATATTGCTGCCACATATAGTCCGGTATCCTTGCTATTTACCTGGAGCTTCTTGATAGAATCCAAAGAAGAATCAGCAATATTATTGGTCCTGATCTGGCATTTCAGCTTAAGTTACTTGTTCACCATAATAAGGTTTTCTCTCTGTGCCTTTTTCATAAAGACTTTCATGGTAATTGTTCGGGTCTGCTCTTTGCTATGGTACCTAGACTGTATGAATTTCAGTGCAATACTAGACTGATGGTGAGATCTCATCAACTTATATTTGAGCTAGCTAGATGTAGCCACGACTTCTATGCTAACAGTTTATCTCGCACTTCTTGCTTGTGGAACCTCCTTCCTGTTCCTTGCATTCCAGCCAACTTTAGTCTGCAAAAATTTAAATGAAATGTCAATTGCTATCTACTGTCTTCTTGATTTATTCTTTTCTTTTTCATTAATAATGTTTCTGTTCCTATTTGTTGTAAACCCTTGCCTGCTAGTGGCTGCATTGCATGGCTTGGGGTGATTCTGATTTTAAAAAAAAAAAAAAAAAAAGAAAGAAAAATATAGTAATTGTGAGTTCACTCCATAGACTTGTATAGTACAGTAAGACTCGGTGGAAACAGAGCAAGCAATAACTGAGCAGTTCTAGGTGATAGCCTTCACTTCAGTGAAATGTTTTTTTTTTATAGATTATCCGCCCTTTATGGGTTATTTAATCACAATATGTACTTTGGATTGTAAGAATTTTTTTTTTTTTGGCAAGTGAATTTACAATTTCCTGACAATTAACAATAATTTTCCCCAGATACAAGTCCTACTATTTAACCCATAGCTGGGGGGAAGAGATGAATTCATACCTTTCCCCAAGGGTATGTGTGTAAGCAAGTGTAACTAACCCGACTGGAATCCGAACTTAGCTCTCCAATTTCTCCTCCTCAGTGAACTTGTCAATTTCATATCTTTTCATTTGTACCCACTTCTTAAAATAATAACCAGCATTCATATTTCAGATTGTTATTGCAATATTTAAACAATATTCAAATATTTAACGATAGAATAGGGTATTTTAGAGTTGTGCAACTCACCATGTGCCACTTTAATCATTAACTTAAGAATTAACAATCATCAGAAATTTAAAATAGGAAAACCATAAAATTCTCATGGGTATTTCCAGTAGATATTAATAAGTGTTGCCAGTAATCAAAAGAGAACTAGGCCGGTTTACCAACTATTATACAACAGAGGTAGTAATCAAAAGGTGTTGCCAGTAATCAAAAGAGAACTAGGCAGGTTTACCAACTATTATACAAGAGAGGTAGTAATATTTATTAAAAGGTGTTGCCAATAATCAAAAGAGAACCAGGCAAATGTGGTACTTACTGTACCACATGCAACCAACTCGGTGTCTCTTGTCGGGTTGACCCTGTTGGGTTACAAATGGTGATTCATTCTCTTTTCTTGAGATAGTCACAAGGATCACGTGATGGATGGTGAATGACATCAGGAGATAGATTGACTAAGGTAGTTGTGATCTAGAACCCAGAAAAGAAGGATGTCACTTGTCCACAGCAGTAGGCCTTACGGGAAAAACAACATGGCATAACCTGATTCATAGAGAAACTGATGTCACTCCAGTTTTCCATAAGGGAAATATTACAAGTAAGGTTCCCCTTTCTTGCACACCATTTGTTGTTACATATGTTGTAATTTCTCCGCGTGGGACACATGCACGTATATTTAATTTTGTGTACGCCATAGCATTATAAACCTCTTCGGGAACCAAGTATGTTTATTATTTTCCCATTCAGCTTTTCCATGCTGTCCATGAACTATGGTGTTGTTATATCATGGATATAACAACGCCCATAACGAGAGAAAGGTAATTGGGGAAAATAAATATTTCTTTCCCTCACTCTCGTTACAACCCAATTCTATTAGGTTGGTGCAAAAATAATGACGTAATAATGTCGTTTTTTTGATAAAAAATACATCAAAAAACGACATTATTACGTCATTATTTTTGCACCAACCTCATACATTACATAAGTGTTGCCAGTAATCAAAAGAAAACTAGGCAAATGTACAAACTTGGTAGTGGATAGAAATAATAATCATTTTTTCTTGTATTTTTAAAATAAGAATATTCTTTTTTTCTTTTGTTAAGTAATTTTTTTTTTTTTTTTTTTTTTTTTTTTTTAATTTTTTTTAACCATTTCTTTCCAGGATCTCAAAATTCATCCGAAAGCTACCAGTGACCCTGGCTCGTTGGGTGCTCCCATGCCTGGCACTGTTGTGAACATTCGTGTAAAGAATGGGGATAAAGTCGAGAAAGGACAACCAGTGCTTGTTCTTAGTGCCATGAAAATGGAAATGATTGTCACAGCACCAGTTGCAGGAACTATCAAGAATATCTCTGCTGATGTCGGCATGAAACTTGAAGGCGATGATTTGCTCATGGAGATTGAATGAAAGGGACTTTGTATTTTTTTTTTTTGTTTGTTTTGTCTGTTTGTCTCTCGTTGAACTGTAAACTCACAGACAGAAAAACTTACACATTCGGAAACATGTAATAAATTTAACATAACCCACACCTTACAAGCTTTTTACAAGAAAAATATGGGGCAATGTGTGCAGTGATCTTTATGTAAACTTCTGGGAGAGAGTGAGAGTGAGAGAATGTTAGTTTAACCTGTTTTGAGTTTAATGAGAAAGTAAAGTTTTTCCCCCTATTAAAAAATTGGAATAGATTTTTCTAGAATTTTTTTTTTTTTCTGTTTGGATTTATTTTTCCTCATGGAAGTCCAAAATAGAAGTGGGGCGCCTGAAATGTCTAGACACACTTTCCAAAATTTGTATTTCAATAACCAAACATCAGCTTTTGTTTTTTCTTTTGTTGGTTATACCGTTACTTTGGTTTATATATATATATATATATATAGTGCATGCATTTAAAAAAAAAAAAATTCAGATATAACTAAAACATATTTGTAAAAGGACAATATGAATGAATGATATTCTGAATAAGCAACGTGTTTCATCTGCTGATGAACTTTATCGAGGCGAATGGAAGAAATTCATAGCTTTCTGTTATTTAAAATATATAATACATAAATTTATCCCATAGTAAAATAATTTAAATATTATAATATTAATTGTATCAAAAAGTTTAACAACATCATTTACTTCGTTTAATTTGCCATAATTTACCAAAACTTTTCAGTTAACCTGATGAATATTTATGAGCGTTTCTTAAATTTAGAAATTTTGCAAAACTGGCAACATTTTTACTTCGTTTATAAATACTTGTTGCAAATAAAATCCTTACATTTGCTTTGATAAGTCCAATCAGAGGATGAAGTGCATCAGCTAAGTTTTACTTTTGTATACTTATATATGTGTGTGTGTGTGTGTGTGTGTGTGTATATATATATATATATATATATATATATATATATATATATGAGTGGACACTGAGGTCAAAACCCTTTCATGCTCAAACACAATCTTCAAGGCCTGTCGTCACTTAGCATCCACTTCTATATACTCTCTATCTCTTATATTGAGTACTTTTACCTATAAATATAGCATGCTTTAAAGCTATATTTTTTATCATATATATATATATATATATATATATATATATATATATATATATGATGGTTGCCAACTAGATATCTTTTGGGGAGTATCTACTGATGTGCTGAACGATTGTGTCTCTTTAGCCCAGCATGAGGACCTACATACCAGGGCACAAAAAGGGCACTTAAGAGGTCCAACAGCGGGTGGTTCATTATCATGCAATTTAAAATGTGGCATGAAACCGCTTCTGGGCCCGCATATCTTACCACAAATATCATATTTTAGTTATGGACTTCTACAGCTTTATAATCAATTGACATCCTCCATCGATGCGCTCTCAAGTGACTTCTTAGACCAGCCACCAACAAACACACTCTACATAATCTGTACATGTCAGATTGAGCTGCCAGTGGGTGTCTTCAGGAAGTTCAATGAATAAATGAATAAATAAAATATATATATATATATATATATATATATATATTAGATAGGAAAAGACAAAATTTATAAAGCATTTTTAAAAGGAAAAGTTAAAAAAAAAAAAAAAACAACTGGTTTTGTCCAAGGACTTATCAAGTTTATTTTTCTGGGAATAGAAAATTTAAAAAGCATGAAAATGAATTTAAATTAACAAATGGAATGGAAGGAAAAAAAAAAAAATTACATGCTTTTTAAATTTTCTATTCCCAGAAAAATAAATTTGATAACTTCTGGAACAAAACCGGTTGTTTTTTGGTTTGTTTGTTTTTTTTTTTTTTTTTTTTTTTTTAATTTTTGTCTTTTCCTATCTATTATTAAATTCTGTACCACCAAAAAATTATTTTTATATATATATATATATATATATATATATATATATATATATATATTCACACACACACACAGTGAATGACAAAAATAAAAAAATATTTAGTGACATGTTTTGACCTGAAAGGGAACTTCTTCAGACTTTTCAGAACAAAATACATCACTAAAGATGTTTTTGTTTTTTCATTTGCTTAGGCACTAAGAAAACACATTCCATTAACACATTTGGAATCAAAAAATCCTTAGTTTTTTGGGGGGTTTTTTCCGGCCTACTCTGATGTTTTTTAGTCTTTTTTTTTTTTTTTTTTTTCTTCAAAATTTTTTCCCCAGATAGCAATTTGTTTTAATGTATTTTTATCTGCAAATTGTACTATCCGGGTTTTTTTTTTTTTTTTTTAAGTATAGACATTAACATGAAATTTTATATATATATATATACACATTCTCCTTTTAAGGAAGTATATCCTCTTAAAAAGGGAAAATAGATCCTTGTTTCCTTGCTTTTTCCTACTAAACATCAATTGATATTAATATCTCTCCTTTCTGAAATTTGCACCTTGACCTCATTTTGTTCTCCACACATACAACTGTGACTGATTTTCATTTGATGCTATTTAGTCTCTGGGGAATTTCCATAGTTTGGTTGTTGGCCTACAAATAGAATGTTGGTGTTAAAAGTATTAACTTGTTGAAATTAGTCTACCTCTAATGTGTATTAGATTATGTTGGTAAATGATTTTTTTTTTTTTTTTTTTTTAATTTTTGTAAAATGATTTTGTGTTTGTGCTCAATGTAAAGTTTTAAAGCCTTCACAATGATTTGCTGTGAATATTATGCAAAAGCATATTTTTCAAAGAAAAACGAAAAAAAGAACTGATTTGATGAAATCTCAAATTATAGGTAGACAAATTTATTCAAATGTATCGTTCAAGAAAAAGACGTGGCATTATTGATAATATATTTTCTTTATTATTTTTTAATTTTTTTTTTTTTTTTTTACTGTTCTTTATAATTTTCCATATCCGTCCTAAAACATTTAAAAAAAAAAAAAAAAAAAGAATAAAAAATAAAACGAAATACTCCAAAACCAGCATATGTCCGTCTGCTGAAATATTTCATGTCATATATTCTCTTATTTTTTTATTTTTTTTATTTGTCTTTTTTTTCTTGTCATGTTAAATTAAAAATTTTTGTCATTAAAGAACATTTAATTAAAAAAAAACAAAGAAACTTAATATTAAAATGAATTGCTTAAGTATTTAAAAATAAAAAAAATTATGGTGTTGATAAAGTTTTATATTTGAAAAAAACTAAATGATTATTCTTTGATTTTTTTTGATTTTTTTTTTGATTTTTTAATAATTTCAATTGAACTAATATCCTCACCTGGTTATTTTTTGTTTTTCCTCTTCAGTTTGTACATTTAAACAT